TGAATGCTGCTACTAATTTAATATTCGTGCTCAGGCATCTTGTATTTAAAGGGACACTCCCACCTTAACATTAGTTTTGAGTTGAGATAGCCAAATTGGTGGCCATGGCCTGCAAATACCGGTTTGGGCACTCACAACATCGACAAATGCTTTAATTCGGAGATATGGAATTTCAAACTTGCAGTTTTCGGATTCTAAGGGGCTAGTGCATTGGTATGCCCCCTTAGAATTTGTGACGTCAGCGGAGATCTAACGATTTTTAAATCTTTTACTAAAACGTTTGGTAGCACGCGGTGGTATATGCTGCTTTGCGCGCAACAAATGCCGCACTTTCAAATAAAGTCGCTAGGAACAGCGGAGATCCCAAAAAGTAAACAAAAGTAAAAGTCTAATATCTTGAAAACCGGTGAATATTTTTCGATGAAATTTGGTAGATATTCATTTTCGCTCTTTCTGAACCGAGCGACATCACTTTCGTGCCAATTCATTAACTTTTTTGAAGGTGGGAGGGTCCCTTTAAAGGTTTGTCGTAGAATTAAAATATAAATATGAAACAAAACTTAACAGTTATCCTGCACATGCATACTTGCGTTGAAACGCTTATTTCTGGCTCCCTAAATAGCTTGTACAGCTATTGTTCTGGCTCCGATATTATCAGCGAATCGGCGCTTTTTACCAGCCCTGTGCCTGTGAACGGTGAAAATCTGACCTTTGACCTGACCTGTGACGTCATCGGTTTGACCTAGGTCAATGAAATTTGGTCACAAGGTAGTTCCCGGGTAGGGCTATCAAACGCCGTTTGAATTTTGAAAATCGGCCGGTAACTTTCCGAGATCTTAGGGGGGGGCCGAAACGCCCCCCCCCCCTACGGGTGGTAGGGTCCGCCGGTAGCCCTACGGGGCGCGGGTTAAGCTTCCACAAGCAACATAGATGTCAGATGTGACTTGCGCACGACTATAATTCGAGTGAGCCGAGATACCAAAGCGTTGGAGCAGGACTGGAGATCCGTAGAGGCATCGGGGTCCGCCCTCATGGTCTCTCTAAGTTCAAAGCCAACTAAGCCCATTCAAACAAGTGTGAGATCCTTTCATAATTAGGCCCAAAGATCGAGGTTGGGTCTCTAAGAGTAACACCGGTGACCTGATGCGGGAAGAGGGTGTTCTGAGACCAGTTTGAGGGCCTTTCAGGGAAGTGTGGGTCGGGCTCCTCAAATGTAAGTTCCCCATAACATGGATCCCCACATAGTTTGAGAACTCTATACATTCAGGTATTTAGCTTGGCTTCATTTTCCAGCCCTGTCGTAAGCATCAGTCTAGCTCCAGGGACCATTAATCGTCCTTAGGACCAGTCATCGGCTTCCAGATCCCTGCAGGGCACGCGGCCCAGCTGCCAGGCGTCACCCGGTTGGCGTTTGGTCCAAGACATATTATGCAATGCACAGTGCATACCGCGACTCATAATTCAGAGGCCCACACCCGAAGAACGGAGCCTTGGCTCACGAATGTGGCGCCACCTGTGGCTAGTGAAGTACGGCGTGTCTGCCACCTGCTGGCGTCATTACACAGATGAACAGACTGAAACTGAAAGCCGACCAAAGCCGTGTAAAAAGGACCGGACATAAGCAACAGCTGACTAAAGGGAAAGCGATGAAGTTCTTCAATTTCTCTTACCTTTCCTTTTTTAATAAAGTACGGATCTTGGATTCGCTAACAGATTTGGCTATATTTGGCAGAGCACTGTCATAAATTTTCACTCAAACTGTTTGTTGCCTTTTTGCTCAAGCAATAAAGCTTCTGCTTGATAAACACCTAAGTAGGCACAGAATCATCTATACCCAAAAAGTTCAAATTAATTTTTATCAGATAAACTTAAGCCATCCTGTAAAGAATCCTGGAGAAGTATCTATGCTCATTTTGGTGTTGACGTTAAAGCAATTCCTATGTACCTACTCCAAAGGGCTTTGTAAATGCATTCTTTGAAGTTTCCGCAATGCCAATAACTTTGCGAACGTCTTTCTTCTTTCTTGGAACCGAACCATTATGGTTCTCTAGTGATGCCCCACCAATCACCCCCTGTTCCGGACTGGCATCTGGTTATCACCTCCACAGGCCGCTAGTGGCAGCCGCGGTATGAGTGAGCCCCTGATCGCTGTGATTGTGCTGGCGGTTTAACGGCTAGGTGGCGGGAACTGCCTCTCGAGACGGGCTGAGCCACGGCGACGCCAGAACTGCTGGTCGCTTTAGCTCAATGTCTCGCTTTTCTCAAGCATTCCATGGCCCAATGATTTTAGTAAGACAAAGCCTTTAGGTCTGATACAAAACACAAACATATAAAAACAAACAAATAAACAATCAAACTAAACGAAGGGACGATGATCTGAATAACCTATGCTTATAGGTCTGCCACAAGAAACCATCCGTTCCGTCGCTTCCATCCTCAGGAATTCAGGATACTGAAATCCTTCTCCTCCACGCCGCAACCCCCACTCCGGGCTGGAAAGGCACCTTTATCTCATGCGGGCTGCTCCCTTGGAGCGGCACCGCTGCTCATGTGGGAGCGCATCCCGTAGCCGGGTGCAGAGAGTGCTTGGGGGGCTGGTCGGCCTGTCCATTCGGACGGGCTCAGCCCCGGCGACTCTCTAGGGTGTCTGCCCAGACCAATGTCTCCCCCCTAATTCCTATCATCCTTCCGGCTCTGAAATGGTCTTGTCAGACCGAAAGGGCCTAACAAAACAAAACAAAACAAAACAAAACAAAACAAAACAAAACAAAACAAAACAAAACAAAACAAAACAAAACAAAACAAAACAAAACAAAACAAAACAAAACAAAACAAAACAAAACAAAACAAAACAAAACAAAACAAAACACAAGAAACAAACATATAATAACAGACAAACAAACAAAAACAGAAGGAACGCACGCACACACGAATTGAAGAGCGGCATATTTATTTGCCTTTCGATTTGTCATTCCAAGCAAGATTATAACTGACGGGGGTCGTATTACTGAGGTTTTATCAGGCAAAAACGTACGTTTATCCCACATCAGCTGTCCTGACACATTTTTTCCTTTTTTTCTGATTTACGTAGGGGAAGCGGGGGGAGCACCGCCACCTTAAGCATTTCTGCTCACCGAGCTGATATGCGTAGTAAAAACGAAGCTCTTTTGCATTCATGTGAAAGTAGGAATGTTTTCCTACATGTTGGCATAGTTTCCAGCGCTCCATTATAAAATTTCGCTACTTTACAGACATTGAAAACAAGTCCTGCATTTTCCGTCCTCCAAAAAATGTGCGGGTAGCACCGCCACTGATGGCGATGTTATCCACAGATCGGCCTTACGGTGACAGCCACCCTTGGAAGCGTTACTGCTGTCTGAAATAGTAATTCAAACTCATATAAGACACACAAGAGTTGGTTGTTAGTTTGTCACAGATCAGACTGTTTGTTGCGGACAATATGCATACAAAGCATGACAAATTCACGTTTATTTCGAAACATCCAGTGAAGTCAAACGTGAGGTTAAAAAACAGACGACGTTTGCGGCCTAACTAAAGCTCTTCTCCGAGCTGAGTGAATCATCATTGCGGCTTTGTCCATTTTGCCACCCCTTGGGGTAGCACCGCCGAGCATGGCGGTGTTACCCCACACACAGTCATGGACCGACAACGCCCCGACAGCAAAACAAGCCGGGACGCGATTCTTCTGTAATTCCTTTCTCAACGAAGAGCACTTCATGCCCTCAAATTTAACGTAAAAATCAAGGCATTTTGAATTGAAATGACCACTTACTTGCTGCTAAAACATGCCAAATGATTACAACGATGGTTTGAAATTCACAAAATGGGCAATTGCGATCTCAAAATCAAATAAATCTTAGCGAAACCTACCTCACGCGGTGTCCCGTTTCCGTTCGGACACCGAAATGGCGGGTGTTTTCATTTACAATTCAGAGTTTTGCCGATAGAGAGGATGGCGGTGTTTCCCACATGGCGGTGCTACCCCCGCTTCCCCTATACCTAATGTTCTCGTAAAATATTTTGAACTGTTGTAATTCTGCTTTGTTGCACACCCAAAGATTTGTCACGATGACGAACAGGGGAGTTACAGAAGTTACTGTGTGTGTGTTTTTTTTTAAGATTTTAGCTCCTTTCTATCCTGATTAATCTATAAACAAGTTCACCTTTGAAAACTGTTATGTCTCTGTCTCTGTTCTATGTTGCATCATCTCTCCGAAACACCCATCGGTACGGGTAAGCAATTCATCTAATAATAAGCAGATAATCACATTATTAGTTATCATTGGTAACATACTAAATAGGGCCTGTTCCAGCGCCTCCAGTAGAAATTCTTGACTAGAGGCTCTACCAGAAGTTTTACTGGAGGTGCGGGAGCGCAATCTGGAGACTCCCGGAGATTGGTGTCAGGGATACCAAATCAATGATGATAATTCACTCTTGAAAAACAAAATTTGTTTTTAATCATACCTAGTAGGAAAGATTTTAAAAAATATGGTAATGTTAACGGTCCCATGTCCTTTGTTTACATTCGTAATTGTCACATGTGCGCCATGATTGTAGACCAGAGCCTCCAGTGATCCTCCAGTGAAATATGGACCTCGCAACGGACAGGAGGCTACTGGAGGTTTCTGGAGCTTTGGCGAGAGCTTTCTGGAGGTTACTGGAGGCGCTGGGATGCTGGCTGGAGAGTTCTAGAGCTCTCTGGAGGTTTCTGGAGGTTTCTGAAGGCGCTGGAACAGGTCCATAATGTCTTAAGACTGTTCAAGTTTTACTAAGACTGCTTTTACTCGTATACATAGAAGTTCAAGAGCTGAATTTGCATATGCAATAGACGAAAAAGAAAATGTTTCAAGAGAATCATTGAGTCTAGTATTACGCTACTTGTGACATTTGATAAACTGTCAAGTTCAACAACTCCTAAAAAGCTGCCATACTTAAAAGCGATAGCAATCGATCGCGATAAACTTATAAGCACACGCTTGTGGACCAAAACATTTATTTGTAGCCGAACATATACCCAATTCAAGCCAGACACAAACAAATCGTCGTACCTGTTTATCCACAAAATGACATGCATCATAGGAACATTGATCAATAGACCACATAATACTTTTAGGAAGCCAGCATTTCTGCCAGCGACGATGGGACGGCCGTCTTACACATGAGATCGACCAGTTTATCCCGCGTAAACCGGGGTGATGATCGGTGGGGGCGGGGGTGGGGGCGGACCCGGAGGCGGGCCGCCGCCGCCACCGCCCGGCATCGGCAGCACCAGAATCTGGGGCGGCGGGGGCCCTCCACCGCCGTGAGGTGGCGGCGGCGGTCCGCCTCCTCCGCCGCCTCCGACGGGCAGAACCACGAGGGGCGGTCCTCCGGGCGGCGGAGGCGGGGGAGGTCCTCCTCCACCACCTCCTCCCGCGGGCAGCACAATGATCGGTGGAGGCGGCGGCGGAGGTTCCGGTGGCGGCGGTTCTGGCGGTCCCGCCACGATGATGATGGGTGGCGGCGGGTGTGGCGGCGGCTCCGGCGGCGGCGGCTCGTGCGGAGCGCCGTGCACGTGCACCTCGACCTTCGGTTCTGGCGGCGGCTCCGGCTCCGGTGGCTTGATGATGATGGGCTGCACCACCGGAGATACGCTGTGGCTTACCAGCCTGGGAGAGATAGAGACTACGTTATAGACGAATATATTATCGCTATCGTCGACCATGCCAAAAGATTGTCGAAATCACTTGGAGGACTCAAAATTCAAAAGCATAATCTGGACATATCGAATGGACATTTTATTGCGTACCTACCGTAAATATTGACCAAAAGTAATACGGAAAACGCATCCACCACGGAATAGCTTCTACAATTAGTTTATTGTTACTTCCAAGAAAACAGGAGGAATAGCACTCTAATTCTGACATGGTGAGTCACTCACCCTCCGAATCCACCGAAACCTCCATAGGGAAGAAAAAAGCCCTGGGCGACACCGGTCACCCCCAGCAGGATGGTCAGCAGCCCCTGTCGGAAGGAAGGCACACATTTAATTATCGGGACTTACACAAACATGAATAATTAGCCAATAGCAAAGCATTTGTAGCAATACTACATCATAAGAGCTGGTACCTATGTTCCACACAAGCACACGCACCCCACGCTTCACAAAAACAAAAATCACACTAAATATGGTAACTTGATCCGAAAGTTATAAATCATAGAACCAGTAATCCGATATATCAATTGAGAGGTTACAAAATCAGCTCAAAGTTTGTCGCCTGGTCTGCTAATCACTCACCAGCTGCTTCATCTTGGGTGGCTGGGGAGCCACTGCACCGCCATAATATGCCATTGCCCGGCTTATATAGTGTGAACAAACGAAGAGGAAACAAACAGCGACCGAAAAATGCCCGTAAACAAACTGGTGGTGCGGTGACGTGGGCACTGTTCCGGACATGTTAACTAGCATGTCCGCAGAACTGGAGGTAGACCACTCCTCGCTGCCGGGAACTACAATAGGACGTGGAAGTCAAAAGGTATCGGGCCGGGCCGGCCAGGCGGTACACCAAGCGCTCTCTTCACGGAATTGGCCTGTGTGGGCGAGTTGGAAACAAGAATCATGCGATGGGAAACCGTTGGCCCTGAAATAAAACAGCGTGTTTGGAAGTGTAAAACCTATGATATTGTGCGACTGAATCTGCAAGGCATATTTTTCTCTTGTAGCCGGCTTTAAACGCATTGGAATACAGCCACAGGCTTCGAATCATTAAGGTCATGCGAAACGTCTTTAGAACTCGGCGCGCTATTCTTCCCTAGTATAATTACATCGAGGAAGCTGAAAATACATACATACCTATCACACAGGACCGGCAAAATGTTTCATTCAGGATTGGTTGATTTGTTCAGTTTGCCGCTCGAGACCGGTCGAGGGCGGCATGATGTCGTAAAAGTGAGGAATAATCGATCCTGCGCCCCTTAACCCGCTCCCTGCTGGGGAGGGGGGTGTTTGAACACACCCCCCCCCCTGTGGTTTTTTGCGAATATCTTTCAGTACACCTTATCATACATCAATTCTACACATGTTGTAAAAATTTCAGACCAAGGTCGTTCAAGATCAGGTCACCATGACACTTGAAGTGACCTCACCTCATAAAAAGTTTCAATGTCTGCCATAGCTACACGGAGTGACCGATCGCTTTGAAACTTTCAGCGATTGCTAAAAGCAATAGCATGTACAAAATTTATATCTCAGAATTTTGATATCGATGACCTAAGGTCAGGTCAATTTTGCGACCTCTCCATTACCTACCTATAAGTCAATGGGAGAAAATTGAAATGCGCCTCTTTTGGACGAAAGACATTATAAACACTCCCAAACACTGAATTACAAGTGGTTTAGACACACTGAACATGACAATGGTGTCCGTGACCCCTGTTTATGCCCCTGAGGTCATCTTAGGTCACGAATGGTATCTAACAGTTTTTCGCAAATAACTTTTGATAGCGGCATGCTAGAGCGATGAAAACGCCTTAGATGTGTTCAGCTCGACGATACGGATCGACTGATATGCAACATGACCCTTTCCAGTCAGGTCATGACCCTGACCTGAGGTCAAATTTTCAAGCTGACCTTCCAAGGTCAAATTATAGTTCATTCGATGCGTCTTGACGAGAGGAACACGATGCCGGTAAAAGTAAGTTCGCACAAGGCTTGGGTCAAAAGTTATTGCAGAAAAACTGTTTCCGAAAAAAATCGGCTATTTTTGCAGTTTTTGCCCCCTGCAGGTAAAACCGTTGACGTTAGGTCAAATCTGAGATAAGTACTCAGAAAGGGCGTTAATAGGGCTATCGAATGCGCTTTTCCGCGGCGCTGTAGCTCTATTGGTTCCCGAGTTTGCGTTGGCCTCTTGGAAATTGTCGACATTCGACCTGGAAATCGGCGAAATTTTGCCTTCAATGACCTGTGGTGGCCTGACCTTTGACCTACCAAATAATTGACCGAAGTGATTTCGTCATTATTTTTTACGCTCTTTCGAACGCCGCCTTCCGTGTATCGCTACGTGGCCCAGGAGCTGAGTTAGAAAGGGGGGTGTTCAAACACCCACCCCCCCAGCAGGGCGTGGAAATCCAGGACCCCTAGCCGGGCGCGGGTTAAGACAATTTCCCCATCCGTAAAAAGGCTAAGTGAAGTTAACTAAAAATATTGACATACCTACCACCAGTATAGCGCCTTTTGGGGCGACTAACGGAGCGAGCGAGGGGGTGAGTCTTGCACGTGCGAAATTTCGAGGGGGTACCTCCAACTGACTTGTGCACGGCACCCTACTAACCGGTCTCTAGCGATGTGCCAAATTTGAGCACAATCGGCCCAGCCATTCTCGAGATCTGGAAGCGGCACCCTGCACGTGCGCACGTGCAAAATGGGTCCCGACTGGCTTTTGCACGGCACCCTACTAACCGGTCCCTAACTGTGTACCAAATTTGAGCGCAATCGGTCCAGCCGTTCTCGAGATCTGGAAACGACCCCTGCACGTGCGCACGTGCAGCAGCACCCCAACTCTGGCACATGGATATGCAGTGCCTAGTGGGTGCCTACCTACTTGCCAACTTTCAGCGCAATCGGCCAAGTAGTTACCGAAATATTGCAACAATTGCAAAACTGACACCTCTTCGTTTTGCACGTGGCACGTGCATAAGGGGTCACTCACATGCATCGGGAATAGTCCAATACTTGGTAGAAGGAATGAAGCTACCCTATAAAAATTACCGCGTGTAAATCGGTCAAGTGGTTGCTGAGATATAAGCCTCGCAAAAGCGTCCGCACGGCCGGCCGGCCGGCCGGCCGGCCGGCCGGCCGGCCGCTCATACTCAGAAATTTCCGTTATTCTACGTAAGACTCCGCTCGCTTCGCTCGCTCCGTAAAAACACTCATTGCAAGAACAAGGGCATCTTGATGCATACATAGAAGAGAGAGTGGGGCAAAACGTCCACCCGTCGTTTTAGCCCTCCACAGCTTTGGATTTTTTTCGTGACATTGTTAGCTTTGTATTCTGATGAAGAGCTGTGCTCGAAATTATTAATAAACAAGTGTTTTGATCTAACTTTTTCAAACTACGAGGGTAAGGTCATTAATCATTAATCAAGATCTCTCATTTGCTTCGAATAGAGAGATCGCTAAAATTGAATGCAATTCGCCGAAATTGAATGAAGAGATGCCTATTTTGAGTGCAAAAAGGTGTATTTTACGATTTTTAAATGCTGTTTCAATCTAAAGCCGTTTGGAATTTAATTTAACCCGCGCCCGGTCTGCTTATAACGCGACCTGGTGGAGGGGTGGGGGGGGCTATTTTTGCCTCCCTCGTATCTCCGAAACTACTGGACGGAGCCGCAAAATTCAAACGGCGTTCGAAAGCCCTGTCAATTTGTCAACGGAAATCAAATTTCATTGAACTCGGGGTCACTGATGACGTCACAGGTCAGGTCAAAGATAAAATGCTTTGCCGTTCACGGGTCTTCTAGGGAATGCGCTATAACATCGAGTAAAACACATTTTATCGAAAATCAGCGATAGGGCGTCAGTTGCCTGGTACATATGCTGCTATTAGAGGTCACTGATAATACCAGGTCAGGTCACAGGTCAGGTCACCAAGGGTCAGCACATTAACCCAACTTTACTAGGGCTGTGCGATGCATGTTTTATGGCCAATTTTTCATTTCCAACTCAATGGTGTTGGTCATATGACCATCAGGAACGGTTAAAGTCACTTCCTGGTGGAGGTCAGGTCAATGGCAATTTCAAAGTTGATATTTTTGCATAAAATGGGTATCAATTCGATGCAGCTCGTCACGGCGAGTCTAATGGTGGTCTTTGTTTTGCGCTACGTGGTCCATAATTGCCAAAAATTGAGTTTGAGAATTTGACGTCATCATTTTTGAAGTTTTTTTTTTTTTGCTATAACTTGGCCAAAAAAGAGATATCGATCTGAAATTTGGTGTGTAGATAGAACACGGTAGGTACTATCATATATTCCGGTTTTCCCGTGATTCGAAAAACTTTTTGGAATTTTTGGCTAATGTATCCAAAAAATTAGTTTTTTATTTTTGAGGGTCAAAACTACAAACATTTCAAAAATCCGAGACCGCAGTTTTGTAGCCCTGTTAATTCTACAGCTTTAATGTCTATCATTTTTCTGTATTTTCATGGCCTAATATCAGGCATACTTTGCAGGCGAAAGGCAATTTCACGAACACAGAGTGAAAAACCGGGTCTAGCTCAATTGCCCACTGGAAGAACATTGATTTTTCACAAAACCGGCCGATACCTCCCGGGTTTCCCCTATGTTTGATACTCATGATTGATACAGGATTAGATGAAAGAAAAGAAAAGATTGATACAGGAATTTCAGTATGCGGCGCAGTCTGAACTTTGTGTTAGATTTGGACACATTTTGCGAAAAGTGCAAATGAGAGTATACGTTTGGGTGTATAATTTCTAAGGTGTCATATATGTCAAAACCATTGTTTTATCAGGAATGTTCATTGTTTCGTTTCTTGATGTTTCAAAAAAGCTGGGCATTCTTCTCACTTGTATTCAAAACAGATGCAACAACTAGTTTAATCCCATTTTCAGCTCAACAAACCATTTCAACCGACATGAGCGAGAAACGTGACCTAAGAGGGTGCAATAACAGTTCACACGATGCATTGCATTGACTTTTCAAACGCATGACTTAGCGATCAACGTATGCGATGGCACTAAGAACGTCAATGACTGAAAACATCGCACGCAGCGTAGTAAAGGAGTACATAAACACGCAGCGGAGAAGCCACGAGACCACTGCCCAAGCCGACCACCACATCCCTTAGCCGTAAGCGATAACGGGCGGGGGCGGGGGCGGGCCCGGAGGTGGACCGCCGCCACCACCCGGCATCGGCAGCACCAGAATCTGCGGCGGCGGGGGCCCTCCACCGCCGTGTGGTGGCGGCGGCGGCCCGCCTCCTCCGCCGCCTCCGACGGGCAGAACCACAATGGGAGGTCCGCCGGGCGGTGGCGGTGGTGGCGGCGGGGGTCCTCCCCCACCTCCTCCGATTGGCAGTACGATGATGGGCGGAGGCGGAGGAGGGGGCTCCGGAGGCGGAGGACCGCCGCCTCCGCTCGCCACGATGATGATGGGCGGCGGCGGGTGTGACGGCGGCTCCGGCGGCGGCGGCTCGTGCGGAGCGCCGTGCACGTGCACCTCGACCTTCGGTTCTGGCGGCGGCTCCGGTTCCGGTGGCTTGATGATGATGGGCTGCACCACGGGGCTATGGCTTACGAGGCTGCAAAATTGGCAGAAGCAAGTCAACATCAGATAACATAACGAGGACCACGTCCATTACGTGGCGTAGGATTACGTCCGGAATGAATAAGCAGATTTACAGTTTAAAAAACGACATCTTCAGCCACGAAAAGTAAATCACATGATTCCCTTCAGAACTAAAGACAGCCGCAGTTAACTCCCGCAAGCTTTCATGAAATTTATGCTGATATTATAGATAATGTGTCCAACGTATCATAAACTAACTGCTGCACTCAGACCGCTCGAGGGCAATCAACTTACCCTCCATATCCAAATCCTCCGAATCCTCCAAAGAACGGAAAGAATGCCCAGGCTGACGGGGTCAGTCCCAGGATGATGGAAATCAGCACCTGCAACAGGAACACAGAATGCGTCGTCGATATTACATAGACATTGGGCAACCAAGTAACCATATTTCCATGATTAAATTGCCGATCAGTAGCCGAGCTGAATGCATGCACAACAACGTCGCATGACTAATAATTAATTGTCAATTGTCATTTTTATCAGATTTGGACATTTATTTTCCACCACAAAGTTACGTGTCCAAAATTATATCCTAGTTTTTTTTCATAAAAATATTATTCGTACCGGTCAACACACCAGCAGAACATTGAAAATTCTACAGCGTTCATAAAATTATCTTGACAATCCGCTTTTTGTATATGCTACCATCAACGCGATATTATTACGCCCCAAAAATATTTTTTGCCGTCGTTTCGTCAATGAGCATTAAGTAAATTTGGTCAAATCGGGTGGATGTTTGATTGGTTTTTGGTGAAACTGATACCAAATTTGATTAAAATCAGGAAGCTTTTAGGCGCGCTGCGTTAAACTTGGCAGTAAATTTAAATACCTATAAATATGTTTGACTGTGAACTCGTTATTTGATGCCGCATACCCAAAGCCAGGAAGTAGGAACATTATAATTATTGCATGCACTGCTCAATCAAAGAGGCAGTCCTAATCTTTCATTTACTAGTTTTCTGAGTAGCTTTTTCCAACGGAATATTTCAGAACAAAAAAGAAAAACACACAAACAGAAAATAAAAAACATGGAACAAGGTAGGAACCTTTCCATGGGATGATTCACTTCTTATTTCACATTTCGTCGGCCATTTTTTAACCGACAATGGCAAAACGACAAGCGGAAGAATATCAAAACAAAAACTTTTCCCTTCTAACTTCTTGAGTAACTTTACAATACGTAAACTTACTTAAAAAATGGCAAATTCGGATAAACTGGTGCGTTGATATTCGCAGCCAATTCTTATGACGAAAGAAAAAAGAGAGAAAAACAGTCATATAGCGCGGACGCTGGAGGTAAATACATGGCAACATGGTAAATGGTAGCACTAAACCGCACAAACATAAACGTAGCGTTCTCTTTATCAAGTGACAACAATGAAATTACTCGCCCTGAAATAATGACGTGGCTGACCATAACGAACAAGAATTATGGGTACAGTACACAAGCCGATTCAGAGTAGCATCTTCATTCAGAGTAACATCTTTAGATTCTGTTTGCACACAGTCCTGCAATAGGAAAGGCAGATGCTTCCGCCATGAATTAAACTTTTCCTAGTTGCTGTTATTCAATGCTTGTGCAAGTGTGACCCTATTATTATCTCATCCGTGCTATCATTATGTAATGTCATGAATAAATGGTTTATGCAATAACGTCATGCCAACAAGATTCTACCAATGCTGGCTTCCTGAAACTGCACCAAAAAATAGTACCTTCTTATACGACCAGTCCAGTCCCAGAGCGTACTCACCAGCTGTTCCATCGTGGATGCCTGATTGCTCACTGCACCGCCTCTCTACCGCCTCTCTACGCTTATATAGCACCCAGATCATGCCCGGGCAAATGGGACACCAATGGGCTGTAAATATAAACACTCGCCTAATGGGTGGTTTGACCAGGTGAACGGTATCACAGGACAGCCAATGGGTGAGCCCGGATCCGCCACTCGGACTTCAGGCGGCCATCTGAGAACATGATAACTGCCGAGCCGCGCGGGTACGTCGACACGTAGCAGGAAGTTTCGGAAGGCGGTACCTAGTAAGGAAGAAGGCATCGTATGCGATTTGACAACTCAAAATCATTCAGGTGGCATGTTCAAAGCTTGTATAAATGGCCATCAGAGCCCTTAGATCTAGTCGAACGAGTGAAGCTCAATTTGTTTAAAAAGATAACCTTTGCGAAGGCAGAAAACGCAGCAACGTGCTCGGGTCTCCTGAAACCTATAGGCACGCTTTTCATCGTTCGCAGTCTCATCGTCACATCGCTGACAAAATCTGTATATCGTTTGGCTGTCATACATTCAACCTTTTCTAGCAAATCATCTTATGTGATGGGAGCTTCCGAAGTTCAGCTTCTAGCCTAGCTATCATAAAACACCCAGAACCGATTCCTATGGTATTGTCAACATAAATTGCTGCAATCCCATTGCCAGAGGCCAGAGCCATATTACTTCAGCAGAGACCTGTATCTACCAAAACAGCATTCTTGAAAGACATCGATTTTAGTTTTTACCATTGCATAATCCACGCAAAGACACGTGCGATATCGATTTTACCATCGCACAATCCATGCAAAGACACGTGCAGCAAATAGTTCGCAATCTGAAACACAATTTTGAAAGCAGACTCATTACCCCGAGTATCATTTTTACATTTGGCTGGCGATCGAGGACTGAAATTCTAATGAATGAGTTATAAACAACGCCGAATGCGCCCTCTTCCTTACGGAGAATGGGCCATAGCGTTACGGGCGCCATTCAAGTCCAGGTTTTCCCTATCGCGAAGAAAGGAACTTTTATAAACTTTGTTCATTGTTAGAGAAATGTCTTGTGAAAAACTATTGAAAACAGTGCTCGTGTCTCATTGTGTGGATGACTAATCAGCTGTCTATGGTTGTTTTGTGCGTTACGTACGGTGGCTAACACCCAATCCCACCAGCTTCCGGTGCTTGGTAGGTGATGATACAAGGAGATTTATTTGATACAGAGACGTTAACTTTATCAGTAAAATAATTAACCCTACATAAGGACAAAAACCATTCAAAACACGAGGAGAGCATTGAGCTTAATCGGTCTGCGCTCGATTAAAGATCAGTCAAAAAGGCAGACAATCACGTAAATGCATAATCACGCAAATGAAAATGCGCAAACATGTTGAGCATATTGATGAGTCTCCAGACTTTGCTCACCACACAATGATAGCTCGTAACAATGACTATAGAATAACGTCTGTAGCGCATATGTCCCTAAGTTCATTGACAATAAAAATAAAAAAGATCAGGCAGGACTTCTCAGAAGGCGCGCATCAATGTAATTATATCGTGCATTATTCCTGCTGTGTTTTAATTGTCCGTCGATGAGAGGATCGCGCACATAGAAATAAAGATCGCGCAACGTTTACTATGAAAGCTCTCTATGCCAGTAGTTGACCTTTATGCGATATATTGAGAATATGAGCTAAGAACTTATGTAGTGCAGCAAGACGATTATGCTTTGAACTGTCTCTTGTTCTTCATCCAAAGGACGGCATGCTTGACTTTTTTGCTCGTGTCTTTTTTATATCAATCAATCCCAACAACTCCAAAATATAAGCGAAATCATACATTCATTGAGGAAGAAGTTTTTCAAACGTTTTAGCGCCTTTGATTCGTTTTAGCGCCAGAGATGTGCTTTTATCCCGCACCGTAGAGTGTTTACAATTGCTTCACGTGCAAAGAGAGAACCATTATCAGATGTCGTGTAACTGATTTTTTAAGGGACCCTCCCACCTTCAAAAAAGTTAACGAATAGGGTTGGGACCTATCTGCATGCTCTGTATGTTTTGGTAAAATAAAAAAGCTCAGAATTTTTAATGATTTAATTTAAAATCACTTTGTTTAAAAAATGCCTAGTTAGTTCAGAAATTAATTATTTGTGGCTGAAAACAACTTGCTTCTGATTGGTCGGGCTAATCATGACGTCACATGTAGGTATATAACTGTCTGTATATTTGGCGCAGTTGAGACATACATTTTCTATGTATTTTCCTATGGTAAATTGGAGTGATTGGTCGTGTTTTCAGTGTTTCTTTATTTTGCGCTGGTATTGCGTGGCTAAGAAGTTTTATCAAGAATGGCATATACTAAAATGTACCTTTAATAATGGAGCTTCAATATCTGTGAGTTTTATTGGCAAGCGAAAACTGATTTCGCTGTTATTTTATCTGGAAATTACTCATATTTTTTAGGTCAATATTCAAAATATTTTACGAGAACAAGTTGGCACTTTTCTTGATTTTTGCACTCAAATCGCGTGCGATTCAACTGTATTGGAACTTGCAAAGAAGCTTGGTGATTAATTAACTGAGTTGTTATGGCACTGTTTGCAAAGCATGGATAATGAAACTCTGCCAAAGACTTAGCTACATAGCAATGCCTCAAGTAATACGCAGGAGGGACAGAATTCAGAGTCCGATCGAGAAGAATCGGTGCAAATGCTACGAAGACCAGGCAGCTCTGATACAATAGCTAGTCGTCTCACTACTCTCACTCCATTAGACCAGCTGATTCCTGACAGCACCGACTCGGATGCAAAGATGGAGCTCATCTTCCAAGCCAGAAACCAGTTCTTTGATGGAAGATGTGCTGCTGCCTCTGTCTCTGCTTTGTTGGCCACTTTGGACGGGGCGGAGCTCCGCTCCTTGCGTGAGCGGTTATTCGCCTGTCATCCAGAAATAGTTCCTTCGTTTGCTGGCCGTTCCCTGATTAGGTGCAATACGGGGAGCTGTAATCAGGGAAGCAACTTTCCATATGAAAGGGGTGCAGGTGCACCCCCGTCCCCCATCCACTAGAAGTGCACCCCCATAGGCTAAGCGGCGCCCCACACGCCGCCACACACACTTAGCTCTAGAGCAGATGGCGAGGGTGATTTCTCGGCTACATTCCATCTCAGCGTCGTGATGCTTGTGGGCTTGGAAAGCGTCCAGTCGTATGTAGGGTAGTGTAGGGGTAGGGTTGAGTTCAATAAGGTCCTTACATTTGAAAGGTTTGAACAACCCGCAATCAGCACAACATACCACAAGTTAAATAAAAACTACCAAACTCCGCCCAACTAATATTAATAAACATTACAGCCAAACTAATGGCCTAAATAAAAATATATCTCAAATCCTAACAGTTATCGCGGGTGATGGCGCCATGAGTTGCTATTATCCAAAACAGATGCAAATAAACATGTTTGTATGTCCTATGTATGTTTGTTTTAAAAACGTTGCAGCGGCGCTGGGAACTGCAGTCTTAGATCTGGGTATGTTTGGCATCTGCAACTCTTCATATACACATTAACCCTATTTCGGACGGGGAGACCTTTCAGGATTTTCTTGTACAATTGCCAAACGCCGCGAGACATTCAGCTCATATTTGGTGACTTTTTCTAAATGCTCATTGCGCACATCTCAGCAAAAAAAGAAAAAAATGCCGGGTCAGGTCAGGTCAGGTAACCAGAGCGGGTTTGTTGACCCCAACTCAGAAAAGTTTGCAAACACGTCAGAGCTTGAGTTTTTCACGAAGTTATTTCCTCTCATCAAGTCTTCAAAACAGTACCTGCAGTATGTGTCGTTTGTATATCTCAGAATTTTTGATTTGTGACCTGAGGTTAGGTCAGATTCGTGACCTTTACATTGCAAGCCTATGGAAAAGTATTGAAATGCGACCTGCACCTCGAGTAAACGAGTCAAAACCAACCAATTCTTTAAGAATTATGACAAATTATCTTATCTGTAATGATCCAGGTGCCATTTACTGACAGGGACACCGGAGAGGGTTATCTGAGCCGAGATCATGTGAGGTGATATCTACCATACATCAATGCTCACAATACTTACAATATTGACAATGCTTTTGCTTACAACACTTACAATACTTACGATGAGACCAGCAAGCACTCTGCCGTTACAGTTCTAACTTCTGTTTCGAAAAACGACGTTACACACATTCGCTGCAAGCATAACATGTATTGTTTGACAGTAACAAAATACAATTGACATCTGAACCCCAAACGGACCGCCATCCACTCAAATTTTATAACCCTGACCGGTCAGGGGGCGAATGGAGGTCATTTCCTGGGCATTACACTCAGCCCTTGCACAAAATATCTCACCTCACAGTGATCATTACAACAATAGCACCAACTTGATAGTGGATTTCAAAGTACTTGCATCAGCTCTTCCTGCTATTGCAGACGATCATCTCCTCAGGGTAATGTTGTTCGGGACATGAACGAAGATCGTTTTCGGAGTTTCATAAGTGCTACTGCAACAGCCTGGCACAAAACAGGACTTGTACGCTCTTCTCTGCACTTTGCCCTTCAGTATATCACAAAAAAAAATTGTTTAGAATCCATCTTACGCTTCTTTCACAGTCTCCCTTGCCACCGTAGGGCGTAGATAGATTGCTGTTGCTGGTAAGTTAAGGCACGGTAGATAGAAATTACCTCGGTTCTCAACGCCCTTAAGTTATTTTCATAAAAAAGAACAAATAAATGATCAATAAGATGACAGGAATGTAAACATTTTAATCGTAAAGTAGTCCAAATATTGGAATGAGCTTTTGCTTTTCAGCATCCTCCGATTCATCATCTTTATCATTTGAAAATTCGAGGTACATAAAATGTTTATCACGCGCTCATGTTAAACGGGGAATATAGTACACGGCAGACACATCAATTTTTGACACTGAACATTTCATCCGTAAATGTTTTAGCATAATTTAAAGCTAAAAACAGCGCGAATGGCAGAGTGAAGCAAACAACATCTTTCACCGATTGATATAACATGTAATCTGTGGTGCGCCAGATGCGCCATTATTTGTCAACCGCAGAAGGTGACATGTGACGTAACAGCATCAAGAGCATCTTTTTTCAAGAACTTTTGAAAACAAATTTCCTATCTTTCTTCCCCCATTTCTCTCAGCTTATTGATTTTATGAGGCAATGGTATGCACCATAAATTCTGTGAAAATAGTTTGATCATTTTCATGCATTCTTAAAAAAACGAGTTCCCAACCCCATTGGCATAAAAGTGATGTCGCTTGGTTCAGAAAGAGCAAAAACGAATATCTACCAAATTTCATCGAAAAATATACACCGGTTTTCAAGATATTAGACTTTTACCTTTGTTTACTTTTTGGGATCTCCGCTGTTCCTAGCCACTTTATTTGAAAGTGCTGCATTTGTTGCGCGCAAAGCAGCATATACCACCGCGTGCTACCAAACGTTTTAGTAAAAGATTTAAAAATCGTAATATCTCAGCTGACGTCACAAATTCTAAGGGGGCATACCAATGTATGTATTAGCCCCTTAGAATCCGAAAACTGCAAGTTTGAAATTCCATATCTCCGAACCAAAGCATTTTTCGATGTTGTGAGTGCCCAAACCGGTATTTTCAGGCCATGGCCACCAATTTGGCTATCTCAACTCAAAACTAATGTTAACCCTCGCCCGTATTGGTGTTTTTCCAGCCGCGAACGTATAAGGGGGGGTCCGTTGGACCCCCCCTTGCCGTTTCGCCCCTGATCGAGCTAGAGCTTCGCGGAAAAAACGAGCGTGTTGCCCGTGACGAGAGGAAGCCGATGATACCCAATTTTAAGGTCTTAGGTCATTGGTTGACCTTGCAGGTCAGGTCAATGACCCATAAGTCGGGAAAATCGGGACCTGTTAGAACGTCGTAAAGTGTGGCTGCTATGGGGTTTTCGGGGCGCTGATCACGAATATCATGTTAGTTTTGATCACAGATGATGTCTTTATGCATTTAGTCCAGGTCGGGTCAGGTCAGGTCAGGTCAACCAGTAGGGGTCCTGTCGGGTATTCCTAGTAGGTGTCAACCGCCTCTGACAGCTTCGTAACATGTTACGAAGGTACCGAAACTACTTCGTAAACGTTCATATGGTTGCTAAATTCGAATTCAGCTCCAAAAACTGGCCTAGAAACATGTAAAACTCGAAAAAGTGAACCGAGGTCACCAAAGGTCAATGACCTGACCTGACCTTCAGGTGACCTTGACAACCACCTCAATGCATGGGGGTAACATCATATCACATGTTTGAACGCTTGAAACCACGAAAAGACTGCAAACGCGCGGCTAATGCGGGCCGACATACGCCGAATCGCGATTCCGGCCAAACATGGTCTCGAAAAGTAGGTCACAGGTCAAAGGTCATTGGGGTCAGGGTCATGAAATTTTCAGGGTAGGTGTAAAATTGATTGACGCGAGGGTACTGAAAGTTTCGTCGCGATCGGCCGCTTTTTACGCGAGTTATTCGCGAAAAACCATGGGGGGGTCCGTTCGACCCCCCCCCCCCCCTATACGGGCGAGGGTTAAGGTGGAATAGTCACTTTAACCCTATTAGTGGCAGGCTCCTGGCTACCCCATATTAGTGGCAGGGGGGCTGTTTACGACCCCCCCCCCTTGATATCTCGAGATCTAACGGGCCGATTTTCAAAATTCAAACGGCATTCGATTTGGCTCAACGAGATCTACATTTCTAATAAAAATTAAAAAATGTCAATAGGGGGGTAGAGGGGGGTAAAAAAGGGCAAATTGCAGATACATTTTAGACTGTTTATCACGGCCAGGTTTCTGAACCAATCTTAACGCAACTTTTGCCGATCGATAGAGAATGAACCAGGAATTCACATGGATCCTAAAAATATGCATTTTCAAAAATCATAGGCGGATACAGATCATTGAGATTGGGGGTACACAAAAAGTATAGTAAATAAGGTTTTTGTTGGTACTGTTTCTAAAAAGGGTGGCAATGGTCTTGTTATGTTACAATTTTCTTATGAGAGAACGACTAAAATTGTATTCGTCATGCATAGGCGGTGTCAGGGCACCTATGTTGGGAGGTAAAAAATAACCCCCCTTTTTGGACGCCTGGATCCGCCTATTATAGCAAAAACGTGTCAAAAGAGGATGCACAATAACTTTGTATATGTTATCACATGATACCTTTCATTCACTGTTCGTAAAACTGGTGCAGCATCGTGATCTTCGCCCAAATGACTCGCTTCACGAATAGGACCCCCCAGTTCCCAGTGCTCTGGAGCCGCCCCTGGTAAAGTTATGAACTTGAAATTTTCAGGGAATGTGCCCAATTTAGTTTTAGGAAAAGTCAGAAAATTTCAGCATCGTAGTTAGCTTCAGCGGTTTCGGAGATATTCCCGAAAAACCTGAGGGGTGGATAAAAACAACCCCCCCCCCCTGCCACTAATAGGGTTAAGCGTCTAGACGATTAACAAACTGTTAAACGTCTCGTAGACATTTCGTCTAGACTGAAATATGCGGTATTTAGTTAAGAAAGAATGCATTTTTAACCTTTAACCGCCTGAAAGATATCGACGGTACGGGATAAAATTATTAAACCGCTCGTAGGATAGAAAAATATTTTAAACGTCTCGCCTATCGGCTCGACGTAAGATTTACTACTCGCGGTTTAATATAAATTAAGTGTATGCGAAAGAGGCTCCAGAACAAAACGTTCGCAGTAGTGGTCTATTGTTCTCTTCATGTTATATAGTTAGTAACTGAAACACGAGTTTGGTCGCTTTGTGAGTTTATACCTGATTGTAAAGTGTACACAGTGTGTTGTAAAACAACTTCTGTAAAGGTTCCGACATTTCCGTAATTATATTTGGAAGTTTTATGGATATTTCGGTGTGCAGTAATTACCAATAGTTACATATTCATAGCCGCCTTCCAACCAGCATGAGCTAGTAATTCTTTGTTATGATAGCATAATCTCCAAGCTGATCGATCGTCGCTATCAATCCACTATCAAAGTTCAAGCCATAGAATGCCGGCCTGACGATTTAGTAGCCGGCAAGCTTGCAACCTCGGTAACTTACAATACGCTGAGCTTCCCAGTTCCCATCCTTCCACACACCACTCGCACTCAAAGCGCAATGGCGGTCGGTCTCATTCAGTACTGGATGGAAGACTGACTGAGTCCCTATCATAGACGACAAAACAAGACGCATGCAATATGGATATTGGATAGTCAATAGAAGAGAGAGTACAATAATCGGTACATCACCGTGTCGTACTCGTTGTCTTGCTCGTGGTTCTGCTGCGGTTTCGCTGCTGACGCGCTGACTGTGGTTCCCGTCCAGTCAGTGGCCTTAGCACAGATCGGTGCAGGTCAAACCGAGCCGAGACGGCCGGTCACCGCCCGGGGTGACATCAGCGGGCGCCGGGTCGGGCAGGGGCCGGAGCGGGCCGGAGCGGGCCGGTCAGGGCCGGGCCGTGTCGCCACAGTCCCGTGGCCAGGCAACTGGCGTTACGCATACATACTGAGAGCGCCAATGTTGCACGGGATAGAGGCTGCACGAGAAAAGGGTGCAGCCAGTCGCTATATGGCTTGTGAAAGATTATCTCAAACGCATTGAATCCATGTATAAAATCCTAATGATCGTGCGCATTTACACTTATGCAATGAAATTAACCCCGCGTTCGATGTCTCTCGGACGACGAAGATTCTACGTCGCCCGTCCAATCCCGCTCGAGGTCAGCGGGGGCTCGGCTGCGGTTATGGAACGTGATTGGCCGGACGACGTAGAATCTTCGTCGTCCGAGAAACCTCGAACGCGGGTTAAGTCCAGAGGGGTGTTCACGGGCACCGCACACTGCTGCGTGCGGTGTGTGCGGTGCGTCCAGCAGGCGTGGGGGTAGGGGATGGGTAGGCGGTTCTGACGTCACGGCTGCGTGCGGTGGACGGTCCGCTGTGGCCAGTCCCGACCGGCCACAGCGATCGCTGTGTGCGGTGACGGAAGGCTGACGTAGGGACGCAGTGGGCGGAGCTTGGAGGCTGTGTGCGGTCCGACCGCACACAGGGCCCGTGAACAGCCCTCAGCTGTAGCGCTTGGCAGAAGAAACTTTCTCTAAAATTACACCGAGAAGTAACGACACCTTTCTTCACGGGCCATTCTTCATGGCGCAGTGATGAATCCATCAACAGAAAAAACTGCACAGTGAATACATTGACAACTGTCACTGACATATTTTGGTCAACCAAGCATCTGTCCAGTGTCTTACCTGTCGATGACTCGTCCATACACCGACCCGACCGACTGACGCCTGCCACTGCTGTGCGTCTTTCTCCGCCGCTGTTCTCTCGGTCTCGTTTGGCCGTGAACTGACACCAGATACCTCGACGACTAGCGGTGTCGAATTCCACACCGCCGACGCTTCGACGAGACGACGGGCGTCGAAAGCTGACCGGAGACTGTCGCGACTGAAGAGAAGAGGGCGAGGAGGGTGGTCGAGCGACAAACGTTTGTACGAGACTAGGCCGGGGCAAGACTGCTGTTGTGATGAAAGAGATAACTGATGACAAAATTGACATCTTCCATCAGGCCCGGGAACCTCGGGCGCCGGGCGGCGTAATAAATCCGTGGCAACGCTATGGACGTAGTGATTAGTACCAAAATGTTCCCATTCCTACCATGCGTCAACTATGACAATGAACTTACTCGCGCCTACATATTATAAAAAAAAAATATCAAAAACAGTAGGCAAAGAGGAAAAAAGATTCTTACGATAGAAGCAGGAGCGAAGGCAAAAACAATGCACAAAGACCACGAAGCATCATACAAAAAGGGAAAATGAGATAAGCCGTTTCGGTCCTCGCAAATGATCTGATCGCCTTGATCTGATCAGTACCTGTTCCAAAGCTCACTCGGCAAAACGGAAACTGTAGCGTAACCGGAAACTCGTCACGGGAATAAAGATAGGCAAGTAGAAGTTAGAACCGCAAATGCCAGCACATCGTGAGCTTGAATTGCCCCATGAGATTCTTCAAGATATTCTTCGGAATTGCCCTACGATTTCGACCAGTCAGTATCTCTGCTGTCTTATCCACCACGTCCACCTGTCACCTGAACTAAAATTGAATCGCTTTAGACGGGACCTCAGGTTGTAGCTTTATGTTGGGAAAAAGGGCATGACGTATCTGGCTTCGACTGGAAAACGAAAACGAAAAACAGAGTAGAAAAGTTTGAAAGTTGAAAATGACCAAGGCTTGGCATGTACGTAAGTCTTGTGAATGACTATGACGTCATCAATGAAAAGAATTGTATGTTTTTCACAGTACCTATTACGATGGTTCCAAGAAAATTAAAATCGTACACCACTAGATGAAATAATAAGTATCACAAAAATATACTTGGTTATTTTGAGAAATCCAAGAAATAACTAAGAAAGATTTATGTGGGCGAATTGCTAGCGTAGTTTAGGATTGGCTTAGGATGACGACATAAACCCGATTCAACGAGTGGGTAAAGGAAATGTATTGTTTACGGTCGAGTTGCAGCTGTTGTTTTTTCGGTTTTGGGTTTTCATAATGAATGCAAGGTGGGTAAGGTGGGAGGTGCATAAGTGATAGTAAATAGGTGATGGGTATAATGAAATTAGCAATTTTGACGTCATATTTTTACTTAGTGTTATGTGCACTAGTTCATATTTTTTCCGAAGTAGCAGTCGCGTCATTTCCCCGAAACTGAAGCTGTAGGTCAAGGTTGATGATGATCTCGTTGGCTGACGCTCACGCTGGGCCTTCATAATTCAGAATCATGATTTATATTTTTTGTCTAATATTTCTCCATTATTCATCCCATGCTTTGATTTTGTCCATCTAATATGTCAACCTTTTTTAGGTTATGTGGTTTTGCACTTTTGCAGTGCCTGGTCTTAAAAACTTCAAGCTAGACCAATACCGACGGCTCCGGGTTTGCTGCGTAGTCTTATTCTGACCCTAAATACCACTTGGAATCTGCAACAGTTAACTAAAAATTAGTCCTAACATGCACTTAAATTTTGAATCCTACAATTAATAAAGTACAGTTGTTAATGAGTTTTAGGAATATTGTTTGAGTGAAGTGAGTTATATCATGTCCTTAAGTGTCTGATGAAGAATAAGCTTGGGAATTGGGATGTATTTTAATGTTAAGGTGAAGTTAGTCCATGCCATTCAATGTGGAATTCTCATTCACCGCACCATCGCAAGTCAACATCCAATCCCATAATTCACAAATGTTGTGCACCACGTTCATGAACTTCTGCGCCCATGAAATACAGCTACTGTTACATTGAGCTTGTTTGAAGTCTAGTTTCACGGATTCATTTTGCTTCAAAGGTGCAAATTGTCTGTTTTATCGACTTACAGTTTCCAGCTTTGTTATATTTGGATTGGAAACAATTGAAGTTGTATGTGAAGCTGCTATAAGCCTTTAGTGAAGTTTCTATTCTATTATCTGGTATCACCATTCACCTGTGGTTCTAGTTTGGATTGACTGCTCAAGGGTACTGCAGGAATTTTGACACAATGTTCTTGATTGTAGGTTGAACATAAAGTATAAACTGAACATTTGCATGACTTTGTGGTAGTTTAGTTGTTTCAAATGGCAAAGCACAACATTGGAGCTGCAAGCCAGTCTCATTTGAAATGTCAAAATATAATTTGGAGTGGTAAGCCAGTCATTCTTACCCATAGCAATTAAACCCCCTCCATCCCCCCCCCCCAAAAAAAAAAATCCAGATCTGTTGACAGGATAAAAATAAAATGCCTCCATTCTAATCAAGATAAAGGAAGACATTGAAAGGATTAAAAGAGATATTGTCTTCATACATTGCACCATCCACACAGCAGCTCTGAATAAGACGATGTTTCTGTTAGTAACGCAGTTGTGTAGTCTGGGACAACCTTGACTGATACTTCCTCCACCTCTCACAGATGGATGGGGGCTAGAAGAGCAGCAGAATGAGTGGCTGGCTGGCGCGCGGCTCCCAGCGCGGCGAGGCGCTCATGTCCCGGTTCCGGGGTGCCTCGCCACTCAAGGACAAGGACCTGGATGCTGTTGCCTGCTTTGAGAGCTTCCGCATTCACTGGCAGCAGGCATGGGAGATGATGCAGGCTCATCAGGTATGCAGCTGACTCATATAGTGTTGAACCATGCTGCATAAGAAGATATGGCTGAAAGTAATTGTAAAAACCCTCCAGCACACTCAATTCCCTTCGCTGTCCTTGCTGGTGGTAGCTAGTTGCAGTTACACCTGTTTGCCACTTGCTAGTAATTCTGCTTTGTTATTTTGAAAATGCCTAAAGACCTATGACTTTTTCGGACTGAAATGATTCACAGACTGGTGACGGCGATCGTAATCCGACCCTCCGGTTGTTGCCAGGGTCCGGACGTCACCACTACCGACGACGTCAACTGCGTGCTCAACCACGTGGACCAGGTGTGCACGCTGCTCATGTGGGACCTGAAGGACGCCGAGCAGGCGGCCGGTGCCGGCTCGGCCGCCGACGGCCTGCCGGACCCTTCCGCGCCGCGCCGACTGCGCATCTTCGACCTGTTCCTCAGCGAGCGGGTGCTGGAGCGCCTGCTGGACTGGAGCGCGCTCTGCGGCCCGTTTGAAGAGCAGCTGCGCCTGGAGCAGCTGCGCATCTACGAGCAGCTGCTGCGCCAGGCGGCGCCGGCGCTGCTGGTGCAGCGCGCCGTGCTGCGCCCGCTGACGTCGCTGCTGGCCGGCTGCCGCGCCGCCGAGCAGCCCGTGGAGCTGCACCGGCGGCTGGTGCTGGTGCTGGCGCAGCTGTGCGCCGCGCTGCACCGCCAGCCGCCGCTGCTCGACCTCTTTCTCGGGCTGGACGAGGACGGCCAGCCGACCAGTTTTGGCGTGTTCGCGATGCTTGTTGACTTTGTGCACCGTGATGGTGTGATTGGACGCACTGACCGCGAGGCGCTGCTCCTGTGCATGAGGCTGTCGCGAGAGAACCTCCAGCTGGCCCAGTATATCGTACAGCACTCCAACTTCTGTCCGGTAAGAATGAGGCGGGGAATGATGGCCGGATGGGATTCTATTGGATTTACGAGAACATTTCCGTTGTCTAACCTTACGTTTTCCGTCGGGCAAGATACTGGCCACCGGTCTGAGCGGTCTGTTCTCTGTGCTACCGGTAACTCGGTGCTACCTTACGCGGTTGTTACGTTACGTTGTTAGGTGACTTACGTTTCCACGCCACTTTACGTTGTTACCTTACGTTATTACGTTTTTCGTCGTTCAGGTGCTGGCAATAGCTGGTCTGGGTGGTATATTCTGAACCTCGCCGACTCTGTGTTGGATCACGTTGTTATGTTGCACTGTTACTTTCCGTTGTTACGTTACGTTGTTACGTTTTCCGTTGTGTAGGTGCTGGCCACCGGTCTGAGCGGTCTCTCCTCTGTCTCATTGTTAAGTTATTTTATTACGTTACGTACTGCTTTACGCTGTAACGTTCTCTTTTCCCCAGGTGCTGGCCACCGGTTTGAGCGGTCTCTACTCTGTGCTACCACGGAAACTACTGGTAGTCACCGAGGACAGGTACCAGCTGCTGAGCGCCGATTCCAAACAGGTGCCCGAGCTGCACAGCTTCGTCTGCTCGCTCGACTTCTGCAACTCTGTGCTGCAGGTATGTTAGGAAAGGGCTGACTGGGATAGTTTTACACTGGCCGAGTAGCTTGACAGCGTGGGAGGCTATTTAGGAAGGAAGATGGTGCTCCAAGTGAGTCAAAGCTGAGGCAAATCGGTCGGCGGCCGCTCCTGATCCGGAATGTGATACCGGATAGCGGAGACGGAAATTGGTCGTAAATGGAGACCGATTTAGCCGTGGACGATGAATGTGGGCGGAGATGTTGTGATTGATACGGCGGAACGGTCTGAGTTGTGTAATCTCGATCTGAAAATACCCGTCATGGCGGCGATGCTTTCGAATTTACAGCTTTAGATTTCGGACTATTGATTTGGACTCCGAGTTTATTTTGATGATCCTGGCAAAGCTATTTCGTTCTATTTTAATTTTGCAACCGCTTATTTCTCCTTAGAATGTGTTGCATGTAACTCTTTAGCAAAGTTCCGCTATTCATGGACTTCAGTGATGAGTCAGCACGCCAGACAGGCCAGGCCTCCCATCCCGTCTACATTACCACTAACTACGTTTGTATGTTTCAGGTGTGCCATCCGCTGATTGCCGATCAGCTGTTGGACTACGTGTACCAGGGGTTTCTGGTGTCGGTCATGGGACCGGCACTGCACCAGGTAAGGAACTGAGAGCGGACAGAGGAGTCGATGAGAAGGCTCCCACACGCCCTGGGCGGACTACCACCCGCACAGTTTGCACTGGGTTCACTGCAGTCAGCACCTGTACAGTGTACATGGTCGTTGGTTAGCTTAGTACGACCGTTACCGGCTATGTACGGTGTTTTCCCGTCATCCTGAGAGCTTGTTGAATATTTACATGGTGTCGAACATGTGAATTCTTCGGCATAATCTCGGAATTTCCTTAGCTAAGAATTTCATATGTTCCCCTTTCCTTTCCTTTTATCAAGTTATGTGTTGAACTGTTAACGTTAAAATATAATAGCTGTCAGTTTTTAGAAGCGTTGCATAATTGCTGCCATCTTTTATGACTACTGGGACTTATTTGTAAGGTCCGCTGGCCGAGCCCTTACCTATTAACGCAGAATTGTCGACGATATGTCTAGTCCCGATTTAATTCGCTCTAGATTGGGTATACCCCATCACTGTCACACACCGCAACCGATTCTTACCGTGTGATCACACAGTTACCATATTTGCATATTTTGCACTACCTATGTCTTTTGGTTCATTGGTATCATTTGGTTCTCAAGCCTTGTCACGTTTTACTTTTCATGTTTTACCCGCTTCTGTTCCGTCTCCCATTCCTTCATTTCTCTGTTCATTGTCGTACAGTCCATCCGTCCCTCCCTGCTCCGCTCCTTCCCCCTCTGGTCACGTCTTTAACCACCACGTCTTTGCACAGGGGGGCTCTGCCGCCGCAGCACAAGGCGCCTCCCCAGATTCGGTTAGTCAGCCAATAGTGGATGATTCGTATAACCCGGCTGCCTGCCACACTGCCCGTAGGCGTTCTTATGCTTATTTATGCCCGTGCTGCGTAGAGTTACACTAAATCGCATGCTAGCTAAATGTGTGCGATTCTGTCTTACCCCCAGCCGAGCTCTGCTCACCCGTATGGCCGAGCTACCTTTCCCTGCTGATGCGGCAGCCGAGCGGTGTGCTCGGCTACCTCTTCCCTTTTGATGCTACTTGCTTCGTTCCTTATAGTAGATATAGCGCATTGCAATGCGACTGGATCGTGTTGTAATACGGCCGACAGAGCCATGCCAGAGCTAGACTAGCTGTAGAGAGACGTAGCGAATGTGTATAACGCCGTGCTTAGTTGATCCGCGCTAGTCAACTGTTTGACGCAGCCGCTTTAGCTAGTTGTCACCAGTTGACGGTAGCTATGGTTATAGTCATGCAACTGACCGGGCTCTCCAATGTTCACCTATGAATTCATAAGGGTTTTATTAAGAGCTGAATGGCAATGCTTTTCACCTGACGTAATAGCTTTGATATGATTCCAAAATAATAGTTGTGTGTACTATGCACGGTTTATTATATTGCTGCAAGCAAATAACAATTTCCCTGTGCTCATTTCATTGCAGTAATTGTTCTGTCATTGCTTCTTTTAACACTTACGTGTTTTCTAGCTGTTGCCTTTTCCGTGCGAATGACTGCGGTATTGGTCTAACAAGACTGATGATGACCTGATGATGTTTATGTCGTAGCGTCGCTTGTTTGTTTCATAAACGGAGTCAATGTAAACACGGGTCTATGTAGATTGTAGATATGTCCGTCAACGTGTACCGTGTCGATGAGCAGCCGTGTAAACAAGGCATCTTGGGTGGCTCCAACGCACAGCTTCGACCCGTTGATTACTATATTGGAGGCTGGAGCCAAATCCCTTTTGAATAAAAACAAACTATATGGTAGCATATCGAACAGCATCGATGCCTGATGCGTCTCTTTTCATCAAATTCCGATAGGTACCTTGACGCCATATATTGGTAAAGTGATTATCTAGTTTCCTTCGAGGCGCTGTACACGCGTGTGCAGCACGTTTTCATCGTAGATGATAGTCTGAAATCTATTTTCGTCGTCTTCATTTATTCGGAGGAGCGTCTTACACCCGCCCACATCTTTGTCCGCTAGCTATCTCACCCCACCTCACCCCTCTCGTCTCCCGTTCTACAGAACTCGATGGAGGAGATAATCACGGCCACGGCGTACCTGGACCTATTTCTGCGCAGTATCGACCAGCCGGGACTGGTGCGCACCTTTCTGCGGCTGATCCTGGCGCACCGCTACGAGGAGCGGCGCATCATCGACACCCTGGTGCAGCGCATCGCAGCCACCTCCAAGGTACGGCGCGGCAGTGGGTTGGGGGGGGGGGGGGCAGTGGGTATGAACCAGTGTTCCATTTTTCAGACTTTTTTGGTGGCAAATCACACCTGATGGGGAAAATATTTTCATCCCTAAAATATAAATGACTGACTTTACTTCATCTCTGAAAAAGGTTTCATGCATTCGAACAGCCAGTTTACATACTTTCTTTTTTCTAATCCTAGGATTTTTTTCTTCATCAGCACACCCAACCAAAATCCAATTTTAGAACACTGGTATGAACAGGGAGTATGTGGGAGTGCGGAGTGGGTGGATGTGGGAAAGATAGCCGATGGTTAGCAAGGATTATGGTTACAATTATGTCGACGTTGATGAGAGTCGTCACTCAGACTGTCAATATGAGCAATGAGAATATTGCTACCGATCATGCTATCAATTTTGATGGATGATTTCCTAGTGGTATCAGCTAGGATGCCTGGGAACTACATGCATTTTATGTTTTGTATCGTTCCTTGTGGAACGTCATTTCACCCTTTCGTTTTCACCCATCTTTCCACACGCTGCTCGATTCCGATAATTAGCCCATAACCCATTACGATCACCTTCTGCGTTGGGACAGTCAAACACCCACACACACGGATAGAACTACGAACTGTCCGAAGACTGCCGTTTTGAGAACCCTTCTTGGCTGGCCGGCTGGGAACGGACTGTGTGCGAGGCGTGAATAGATCATAAAACTGCCGCCGATCAGCCGCAGAGCCAGCCTCCGGAACGGAACGGTCGGGAACGCGGCGCCTTACGGACTGGTCACGGTCCGGTCGCCGGAGCTCGGCGTTATTACGGAGAGCTGGACAGCGCCGGGTAGTGGGTGGATTGGGTTGCTGGCCGTGGTCACGACATGGACAGTGGCAGCGTCCGTTTGACTTTGGTTTGAGCCGTGTTGTAGACGTCTCTGAGCGTGGCGGGGGGGGGGGAGGGAATGGAGTAGCAGCACCGAGTTTTTTAACACTGAAATATCGCGGGAATTCCCCTGAGACTCAGCACTCAGCAGCCTTACAGGTGGAGCTAATTGCAAAACTTTCCCGGCAGGAAAGCCGGATGAATCAACTATGAAAGGACACTTATTCGAAGCCTGCAAGACATATTTCACAATAACATAGCATGCAGTACTTCGATATTCCCCCGTAGTCTGCAGACCATGGTGGCATGTAAAGATGTTTATAGAAGAGCTAAGTTTCCCTTCTCCGACTCAGTGACAGAGACGGAATCAGTGAGACATTGGGTGGTATGACGTCACATGTGTGTACACTGTACAGTCGTTAGTGGTGTGACGTAATCAGCCTCAGACTGAACGCGTGATTGCGTGTCGTGTGTGGTTTTGTGTGTGGAAGTAGCACATGCATGTTCTCACGTCTATGACCTTGACATTGGGTAGTATCACTTCTATCGGTGGGACGCATAAAAAGATTGAGCTTGTCTCTTGCTAGTTAAGTGGTGACATCATACGATGATGCATACAGATTACAGATGCCTTTAACGTGTTTCATCAGCCCACTGACGTCTGTTTTTTTTTTCTTCTCCGGCAGTTGTGCGTGGTGACGCTCTCGCTTCTCCACACCCTGCTGGATTTGAACTGTGAGGACGTGATGCTGGAGCTGGTGTTCCGCCACCTGCTGCCCTGCACTCACGTCATGGTCTCTCAGCGGACCCGCGTCAGGGAGCCCGACCAACACGGTGGGACGGCCCGCAAACTGCTCGAGCTCGTACCGGCCTGTTGTGGCCCGCCGCCCGGCGCCACACGGCCCTCGGAGGTGGGTAAAGGTGACGGCAGTAATGGAAGACAGCAGCTCAGCCAGTCCTCTTCGGCACCTCCGGCCGGAGGAGCGGCAACGACTCCAGCGGCGGCACCCGGTGGGAAGCAGTCAGCAAGACAACCTTCAAAACAGCCACAGAAGAAGGCGTCCAAACAGTCGTCCAGCCCCGCTCAGCCTCCGTCTTTGACGGTGGACGGCGCCGCGGAATCGACCGCCTCCCCTGCTCCAGTCGAGTTCGCGCTACAGTCGCACATGAGCGAGTTCTTCGAGTATACCATGGACGCTCGGGCGGGCGTGCGCGCGTGCAGACGCGGCTGTGCGGGCTGGACGCACGCGTATGATGGTGTGCACCCGTCCCCCACCGATGCGTACCGAATGCTGCGAGCGGGAGACTCACCTCCGCCGCCCTCTGCGGAAAGGAACGGGGAACACCCACCCGAGCCCACAGTGGACGAGACGGGCTCGATCGGGGAGAGCAGTGGCTACCAGAGTTTCAACCCGCGCCTGTCACCGTCGCCGCCCCCCGGCGCGCCCGAAGATGCGCTGTTCTGGGCTCTGGTGGAGCGCGTGCCGACGCCGGAAGAACTGCCCACCCTGGAGACGAGTTGTGCGGAGCTGGATGAGGCCCTGGCCAGTTTGGGTGTGATACCGACATCTGAGGAGATGAACGGGGACGAGGTGGCTGTAGAAGGACGTCCTCCGCTTCCACTGCCGCTCCAGCTAGTGCCCGAAGACGGCGAGCAGGTGCGAGAAACCCCTCAGAGTCCGACCGAGATGTTTGGTCTGACACCTAGCATGGGCCCGTTCCTGGACTTGCTGCTGACTAGGTTGGAGGAGGCGACCACCAACGGCCTCCAGTTGAACCTACAGTTGATGACGGTGCTCACAAGGCTCAGTCTCTACCCCCAGCCACTACTCAGGTCGTGTCTTCTGGACCAGTCGATAGTGCTACAGCCCAGCGTTCGCTCGCTGCTGCAGACGCTCGGAAAGCTCAAGCACCGGATCGACGTGGCGACGGCAGCGCTGCCACAGCTCTCTGAGCTCGTGCGATGGGCTCGGGCCCGGCTAGCCGCGCGTGAGGAGCAGCCGGTGGCCGGTTCTGCTCCCCCCGCTCCGGCGACGAAGTCTGAGCCGCGCCGACTGAGTCTGAACTCTGTGGCGTCCATGCTGCGACGCTCGTTGGGTGGCTCTGGCGGGGGCGGGGGCGGTGGAGAGCGACCCCTCGAGCCGACCGCTGACGGGTTCCGGTACACCCCTCGGCCGGCCTCGAGCGGCAGCCGGCCGGCGGCGGAGGATGGCGCTGCGCGTCGGCTCGTCACGGCCGCTGTGCTGTTGGAACAGTGGCTGCTCGAACTGGCCGCCGTCTCGCAGGAGCACGCCGTCGCCTGTGAGTACTGGGAGTTCAGCTGCTTCTGACCGAACTCTTAGTACCCTCGCAGTCGGTGAAATGACACTGGAGTTGTGAGTAGGCGAAGGTGAGCTCCTTGCGAGCGAGTTGGCCAGCCGGAGTCAATGAGTGTCGGAGTCGGAGTCAATTTTACGGGCTGTAGTTGTCCCACTTTTACCCACCTGATCCCGCTGCACGCGTCGCCTGCTCCTCAACACTCACACATCCCTCCAAAGCACACCGTCCCAAAGTGTTACACACTATTTACACACGTCACACTCACTCGACACTATCCGTGACGGTTTTTTCGACCCCTCTCAGACCAGTCGCTTCTAAAGGAATCTCGTCGATTGTCATCAGATCTGCGATCGCTTTCAGCCGGTGCACCGTCCCCAGGGTAACTCAATGTGGTGGGTAGGCAAGTCATTCATATTTGTAACCGCACTAAGCACAAACACGTGTCCCATTTCACAGTCGTGTAACATCTTCAACCGTGCTATTTAAGGCTCACTTCGCTGATCTGTTCTTGCGAATCTCAGCTGCCCAATGTTCTGGCGGCTATGTTGTCTGATATTAACCCGGCAATCTCAGCTACTGTCATGGCTTTGGGCGTCGGTCTTGAAGTCTGTCGGGTGGTTCATAGAGTCGTTATTTGGGCCGCAAAAACGCATCGTATCGAGTCACAGCGATCGGTCGTTTCTCTGTTTATTTTCGCTGTTTGTTACGTGTGACGCGGTCGCCTGTGTTTGTTTCGGTGTGGGCGCCATGCGTTTGTTCGGTGGCCCGTTTCAGGCAGGAGTGTTGTTTTGTGTGACCCGAAGGGGCCGCTAGAGGTGGGAACGACAGTAGGTAGGCGACGATCGGCGACCCCCGTCGTGTCGTGTGTTCGCGTGTGCTGTGCTCATGGCGGGTCCGCCGTGCGACGCTGCTGCCACCCTGCGGCTGGACGCGGTACTATTCTCAGAGAGCCCGTGTGGAGTGAGCCCCTGGGAGTGAGCTGTATAAGATGAGGAGTTTGAACGAACGTTCAGCGAGATGCCCAGTCATTAGAAACTACCACAGTCGACGAGTGAATAGGTGAACGAAATGGCGCACGAGGCTTGTTGATGATACCTGCTGCTTTCGTGCAATGACTCAGAACTGACCTGAAGTGCGTGCGCTACTTGTGATTATTTTCAAGGAATTGCAAAGTATTTTGACTAGATTGACTTGCGCTTGGCGGTATTAGCAGTTTGCCCCTACGAGACGGCGGCTCTGTACTCGCTCATGTTATCAGGAGGGGGTGGTGCAGACTTGTAACGGTTTATGTGCTGCAATAAAACAATATTTTGCTTATGATGACGTGTTACCGATTCGCTGAACGAAAGGGAACATCGGAAGCGGTTTTAGTACGAGAACAAATAAGTTGGAACTTTGGAGATATACCCAAATGTCAGCGTATTTACGCTGTTTCTCGAAAAGCAAAATTTGACCCAGGCTCTTCTAGTTACTTCGGTCTACACAAACACATACACCGGAACCCGGTCCTGGATTTTCCATAGTTCGAGGCAATTTCTTTCGACTTGTGCGTGGATGACTTAGATATAACAGAGAGATGACGTGACCCGCAACAAGGCACGGGCCACTGCGGAGATCCCATCGTAAAATGTCGTCACTAGTATGGGGCTCACGCGCTCTTATATGGCTCTTGGGCGACACAGTAACAACGGGCAAGCGATATGTAACATCCAAGAAGTCAAAATCAATGGCGCGAAAAGGGGGATAAGGGCTTTGCTAAAATTTCCTCGCTAATGCCTCAAAGATGTGTTGCCATTTTACGGTACACCTTTGATCTTACCGCACTTGCTTTGAAAATTTCAGACCCTCTGGGAGGAGTGTTTTGAATTCTCATTCCCTCTCAAATTCGGCTTCTGGGCCTTGTAGCGAAACGCAGTAGGCGGCAGGGGTGTCGTTTTGTATAGGCCTGGTAGGGCTCGAGCCCTACCAATGTTTATTTGGGCTCTACCAATTTTCCCTGAGCCCTACCAATATTTTGTCAGCCACCACTTGATAAAAAAGGAAAATGATAAAAATAAGCAACTTAACACATACACATCTAAGGTTCTAACCACGGTAAGCACATGTAGCTGGAAGTGAGGTGTCGTGTCTTGGGCTCAAGTCCTTGGTGGATACCAAGAGGCTCGAAGGAGCAGTGGTTTTAGACGGGCCATACATATAAGGCCTTGGGTCATACATGCCTCTGAGCGCCGCACACCGCGCGACGGCCCCTCATAAATCCAGGTCCGTCAACAAAACCAGCCTCTGAAGGCCCTACATCAACTTTGGGGCCGGGGGGTGTCACGATGCTCCAGGAGAGGCAGGAGAGGCTCAATAGGCCATATTGGTTTGAGTAGGTCCTACACCCTGATTCCTGAGGGTCCAACAGCAGGTCCTTAACGCATCAGATCACGAAAACACAACTCATAGTCTAATTCACATCCTTTTATTTTAGGAATCAGGTCTTTTTAACTATTGTGGTGTGTCGAGATCTCGTTAGTCGTTAGTTATCGAACCTTTCACTCGGCGTGGGCCCTCAAAGCCTTTCCTGCCGGCTGCCCCTTTCAGCTCAGCCGTCCTTTTTAGTCGGCGTGGGCCTCTTTGAGAATGGCGTGGGTCCCGCTGATGTACTATGATAGTGCCTTTATAACTGCACGTTGTGTGCATCGGGTCCGGTCACCGGTGAGGGACTAGATTTCCAAGATTAAAAAAAAAATAGATGTTAGTCTGTCTTGTAATGATCAAAGCTGAAAAATAAGTGGCCGAAATTCGATGAGAAAGGCAGATTTGGGGGTACCCTACTTTGGTAAGCCCCCTCATATATGGACGTCCGCCGCCTTTGGGCCCCACCAATCATTTTCAGAAAACGACACCCCTGGTAGGCGGTGTTCAAAAGAGCGTCAAAGTTTATGAGCAATTTTATATGTCAAAGGTCAGACCACCAGGGGTCATCATGGGTCAGTTTTCGCTTATCTTAACCACAGTGTATATAAAATCTTAACATTTTTCAACAGGCGGCGCGTAAATCGTGGACGGATAGGGCTACAGCGCTGCCGAAAAGTGCATATGATAGCTCTTTTTATGCTCTCTATGAGTGATTTTCTGATATTTGACTCAGTCAGTTTAGCCTGCAGAGGGCAAAACCTGTCCAGCTCGACGCTTTTATGGCGAAAACTGATTTTCTGCAACAACTCGAGACTTAAAACTTGCACGACATTAATTTTACCGGCATCAAGTTCCTCTCGTTAACCGCGCCGGGCCGGGAGGTGTTTGAGCACCCCCCCCCCCTGCGGTTTTCGCAGATATCTAAAAAAACGGACTTGTTTGTGCATCTTTTCCGCACATGTTGTGAAAATTTCAGACCCAGGTCGCCTTAGGTCAGGTCACCAGGTCACGCCAAGTGACCTCACCTCGGGAAAAAATAAGAATGCTCGTCATACCTACACCGACTGAACGATTGCTCTGAAACTTTCAGCGATTGATAAGAGCAACATTATCTATAAAATGTATGTCTCGGAATTTTGATATCGGTAACCTAAGGTCAGGTCAATTTTGCGGCCTCTCCATTATAGGTAAGTCAACGGGAAAAATTTGAAGAGCGTTTGTTTTGCACGAACGCTATTCTAGACACTCTCAAACATCGAGATGTAGGTAAAATTGACACACTGAACCGGAAAATGGCAACTGTGACCCCTCGTTATGTCCCCGAGGTCATCTCAGGTCACGAACAGAATCTAACAGTTTTTCGCTAATAACTTCTGATAGAGGCGTGCTAGAGCGCTGATAACGCCTTAGATGTGCTCGGCTCGACGTTGCGGATCGATTGATATGCAAATTGCAACATGACCTTTTCCGGTCAGGTCATAACCTTGACCTGAGGTCAAATTTTCAAGTTGACCTTTCAAGGTCAAATTATAGTTCATTCGACGCGTCTCGACGAGAGTAACACGATGCTGGCAAAAGAAATGCCATGGCTTTTTTAGTCAAAAGTTATTGCCGAAAAAACGCTTTTCGTAAAAACGGCTATTTTTGGAGTTTTTGTCCTTAGAAAGTTAAGCCGTTGACCTGAGGTCAAATCTGAGATCATTATTCAGAAAGGCCTGTAAAAGGGCTATCGGATGCGCTTTTCCGCGGCGCTGTAGCTCTATTGGTTCCCGAGATAGCCGTCGACAGTTTCCAAAATGTTGAAAAAGTCAACATTTTACATTTGGTGACCTCTGGTGACCTGACCTTTGACCTGACCCAAAAAATGACCGAATTGTTTCCGTCCTTATTTTGGACCGTTCTTTCGATTGCCGCTTACCACGAGTTACCATGTTAGTTTTGATCACAGATGATGTCTTCATGCATTTAGGCCAGGTTGGGTCAGGTCATGTCAGGTTAACCAGTAGGGGTCTTGCCGGGCATTCGTATTACGTGTCAACCGCCTCTGACAGGTTTGTAACATGCTACGAAGGCACCAAAACTACTTCGTAAATGTCCAAATGATTGCTAAATTTGAATTCAGCTCCAAAAACTAGCCCAAAACATGTGAAACTCGAAAAAGTGAACCGAGATCATCAAAGGTCAATGACCTGTCACCTGACCTGACCTTCAGGTGACCTTGACACCCACCCTTTTGCATTGGACCAACATCATATCGCATGTTTGAACGCTCGAAACCACGAAAAGACTGCTTGAAACGCGCGGCTAATGTGAGCCAATATACGCCGAATCGCGGTTCCGGCCAAACCTGGTTTCGAGAAATAGGTCACAGGTCAAAGGTCACTTGGGTCGGGGTCATGAAATTTTAAGGGTAGGTGTAAAATTGATTAACTCGAGGGTAATGAAAGTTTCGTCGCGATCAGCCGCTTTTTACGCCGGGTATTCGCGAAAAACCGAGGTGGTTTGACCCCCCCCCCCTCCTATACGGGTGAGGGTTAACCTGACCTGAGGTCACCGGTATTGAAATTTGGAGGCAAACATTTTATGCATAATATTTCCCTCATCAATCGCTGCAAGTTTCAAACCGATGTTTTAATCGGTGTAACTGCGGATGTTTTTTTTTACGTCTTCCAAGGATAGATATAGGTAGATACATCATTCCTGCGTCGGGCTAAGGTGCGCAATAGGTCTTTGAATCACACCATCACAACGACAAGTCATTCACCACACTCTGATATTTTGTCCTTGTTTACCCGAAGTTCAACGGACAAAGGTAAACGGTCCGTAAGGCATCTTTTTGTTCTAAGTCCTCTCTGTCCTCACTCACTCCTCGAACACTATCTCTATCATCAACAGTCAAGGTCGCTGAGGCACGATTGCGACCAGCATTTCTCGAGCATTTCGCCTAATCCCTAATCCAGTCCGGGACGCGTGGGTACGGGGCGGCGCAGCGCTTACGTGAGCGGCCTTTGGCTCGGCAGGGACCGGTCAGCGTTGCGACCAGCTGGGAGAGGAGCCGGGTGCGGGCCGATGCAGTCGGGCAGCTGACGGCACCGCGCGCGCACCGGCTGCTCTGGCACTGTGGCTGGCTGTCAGGGCGCCGTCAGTCCGTCAGGTCGTCCGTCCGTCCTCTGTCCCAGTGGCTGGCCGTCTGTCATTCTGCGAGTCCGTCAGATTGTCCGACCGTCAGCCAGCCAGCTCGTTTGCCCTTCTATCGTTCTGTCAAAGCGGTTACAGGCGCTCGTCTGTTCGTCTGCGAATCCGTCTCCCCGGCGACGAGTTATTCCTTTTGCGTCCGCCGGTCAAGTCCATCATCTCATTCTCAGTGTTGTGGTCAGCGTCTTTTTCGCGTGAACAACTGTGACTGTGCATCAATTTGTGAGCTGCCACGTAGTGGATCTTTCTTCAGACTGCCAAAGAAGATCTGAAGCGACTCTGAACTGAGTGATCAGAGCTGCGAGGCACAGGAGATAGCTGGCATAGCTCTGTGGTGAGAAATACTCCCACGGAGAGTTTGCCGTCTTATCTTCAGAAAGTGAAACTCGGATCAATTTTCAACGTCGATTGTTACGACATATCTAGTCGCCCAAGCAAGAGACTTCAAAGATCGCCGGAGACCATGGCGACCTTGTGAGTCTGAAGAAACGTAATCCTTAATTTTTTGAAGGATCAATTTGAAGGATCTGAGTTTGCCCTGGGCCTAAGCGTGTTCTCTGGTGCAACTGTGTGACTGTCGCGACTGTGTGTGAAGAACAAGTGACGATTTTTCGTCACCACGGCTATTCGGAGTTCGTGTGAGAGCGTACAGACGTCGGAGCGGCACGGGATCTCTCCAGACACGCGATGAAGATTACCATGAGGACGACGGTGGTGTTCAGTCTGCTGCTGATGATGGCTACATCCGGTGTCTCCACAAGTCCGGGAGCATGTGAGTACACTCATATCCCGAATACGTTCACGCAATATTGGCTTGCTGTAGCTGCCTTAGTTATTCATACACTTTTCGAATTTGATAGCTTTCAGACAAGGAAAACAAAATTAAATCAACAGCAACTAGATAGAGCATAAAAGCGCTCTAAAGCAGCCGAAATTGCACACATGTTACATGTTTAAATGTCCGTTAATGCACATTGCAAAGTATAACTCAACGCCTCTGCGATTGCGCGAACTGGAATAATGGTGAAATAATTTCACTCTCGCCTTATTCTAGAAAAGCTGAGGAACGTGTTCAAATCTCTCATCTTGCACCTTGGAGTGTCCCAGTGTTTCCCGCTTCGCAAACCCTGCCTCATGACAAATGATGGAAGAATAGAGATATAAATCGTCTGTCCTATATGAAAGCCACACCGTGTGCGATGGGCATCTCCTCATGGGCCATTGGAAACCAAAAGAAGTACAAATTTGTTCACCCATGATTCCACATCACAGATTTTCATGCATGCGATCGCATATGGAAAATACGAAGGATATACTATACGGTGACTCGATTTACTCGCGTAGGTGTATATATAAATTTCCATCACGGATTGCTCAGCGTCTATGTAGTGCTTACAATTATTCCATGATGTATCTATAAAATCCCCGAAAGGATGGATCTCTATAGACGTCTATAGCCGTTTTCACGACGGCCATCTGGTACACATTTGGTTCACATCTGGTGCAGATTTGGTCAAATTAGGTTCAGTGTATCTCTTAGTAGCTATCAGCTAGGGTTGCACTAATTGGTTATATGCCTGCTTTGTCATATTATCAGAGAGCATCATCGATTACAACACTGAAATAAATTCATAAAATAAAGATTTTTGCTGTAAAAGAGATCAGGTGCAGATTTGGTCAAATTAGGTGCACTCGCCGGATAGCCCGTCGTGAAAACGGCTAATGTTGACTTTAGCATGGTTCTGTGGCGTAGTTGTGTCTCATGGTACAATCATCAAAAGTGAACAGCATAGAAGACTCAAATAGTTCAATAAACATGCATGAGGCGTAGTTCCTTACTCCGGAGCACCGTGCCTAAGCATAAAACAGTGCGAAAAAAATCTGTCAAAATTCACACCGGCGAGCTATAGGTTAAAAGCGACGTGAAAACGTTATCGTCGACCATGCCTTGGTAACAATCTTGGTAATCTTGGTTGTCGACGAGCGCTATATGATTCTCTAGTCACACCCATGGATATCAAGTAAATTATGGAAAAGTGTAAAAATATGTTTCGATGTGAGAGGCTGCATGAAGGCAATGAATTTCATTTAAGTGATATTCATACAATAAAAACATTATTAGAATCAAATTTCGTAGTCAGCAATTATTCCATCAACTACATTATGTCAAAAAGCACTTATGGCTTATGTCTACATGAATTGATACCGCCCATGTTGCATGTTACGTATCAGGCACTTTGACAGCAATTACTTATGTCCGAAAAATAAGCGAGGATATGTGTATTGACTTAAGACATCCCTCAGTGAAAACACAGCTTTCGCGGGCAATGCGCAGATGAATGACTGATATATCTTTATACGCATATTGAGACTAGCTGATTTTTAGAAGCGCTAATTGTGAATGGTTGGTACACACATACATATGTAGCAGAAGGCTCTACGATACCCTGCGGTACCCGCGATCTCAACCACCTGACAAGCCACCTGAATCTAAAGCACTTCCGCGGACACACTGATCCCTTGGGTGCACCGTTTCAGGGTAATCAAAGTTCACATGAGATGTCTGTCGCTGTCCGGTTCTCATTAACACGTGGCTCAAATTGAGACGACACTGCATACACCGATCCTTTCCGCTCCTGGAGGATAGATCTGATGTCGGAAAGGGAACAGGTTTTGGTGTAACCGAACACCCGAATCGTGAGCGTTAGACGTGATAGACATCTGAAGGGAGAGTTCACAAGTATCGCATGTCGTGTCGTCACAGTTCCCAGCGACAGATAAAAACGACAGACGTGTTTTGGTTTTGGCTGAAGTCGCCTGTATAGGTATGGGTGTATGTATTCTGACCTGTGCTTTGCGTTGTGTGTTAAATGCACGTATGATAGAGCAAAACAGCAGTTATTGCAATAACAAATTAGACAGGAAAATGCAATAACTTAAAGCCACAACATTTATTTACATTTATTGTGAGATAATTTTTGGCTAATGTTTTAACCGTTTTCTCTGCATGGACCTCAATTGCCTCTTTTGCACTACAGGAGCAAAAAGCTAACGGAAGTGCCTAATTTGTTCATTGAGGAATAGTGTATCGGAAGAGGGAAGTATCCCCCTTCCGATAGCAAATATCAATTCTGCATTTGTCTCACTTTTCTAATCAAAATTAGATGAAATTACCGGTTCATTAGCCGAATACAGGTTACGTTTTAGTTCAGTGCTGCTTTTAAGTGTCAAACCCGCATGAGGAGTCTTAATCGTTAAAAATCGGAACTGTAACAACTTTTCCGTGGGTAAGGGGACTTGCTTTGATAATTCAATGCCAAGGCCAAGCTAGCTCAGCTCAGTTTAGCTCTACACGGAAAACCTTTTGCAAATGGAATGTGTCGCACATGTGAATGGGACCTTACAGGCAAACAATTGGTAATTCAGTGAAATAGAAACATTTCTGTTATTATTTTCGTAGGAACGCCAGGTCTCGCTCAATGGTGAACGTGAAATCGATGGATGTCAAGCATGTTTATATTTGGCTTCGTTTTGAGGGAAAATGTTAGAATATGTCCCTAAGGGCTCACTCAAATAAACGTTTATTCTAAGATTTATGACTATTTCCAGGTGACTATTTCCAGACAGGAAACGTCATTAGTTTTGGTAATGTGGTCTGGTCATTTCGGCATTACATATACGTTATTATTGCCCCATGCTTGTTTTAAATGCCACATAAGTATAATGCACGCATGCCTTTTTGCTTCTCACATAAGTTTGATAACGACATTAGCAGACCCGGTTGTAAGCCACATCGAGAGGGAAAATGATTGCATAGCTTAACTTCATTGCTGACAGTGGCCATCGCATAACATACAAGAAGACTGGCTTTTGAACCGATCAGCTGAGCGAGATTACACTAATCGCTTCGCTATCGGCTGCCATATTTGTTAGCATTTCTTTGCGAAAAGGGACAGCCGACTTACTAGCTTACCGCCGTGAATTTTCTGCGGTCATCTTCAATGTGTCAAGGTCAATTGAGGAGAGTTGCTCAACAACAGCGCTAAGATTTAGGTCTGTGTTTCTTCATGCTTACAAGTAGGCATTTAATCTAGTTTTAAAGCCAGTCACGACCAGTCTAGACTGCGTGATAACTTGTCTCCCACAAACTGGGCGGGTGCCGCATCCAGTTTCCGCAATGCCCGCTGCTCGAGAGGCTGGAAAACGTCTAGAACATGCAACGGGATTACTCCGGTGTCGGCCTTGTCTTGAGCGTGTAAAAGTTGAGACGTTTACCAATATTCGATACACGCTGGATGCCACCATAAATCGAGGTGCAGGTGCAATTGAAAGTGCAATTGAAGTTGCGATTGTGGTGCAGTTGAACACCTTACTCAGATATTGTAAACCAATTACGCATAACATTTGGATTGGTTTACGTCTACGATCGGTGATAAATGGAAGTCTTCGGCATTTGAGCCGCTTTGCATTATATAGTATTTGCGTATTTAAGTGAGCAATGTGACATACGTTTCTTAAAATGTTTGTTCCCTAACATTTCTTAAACCCTGTTTTATTTAGACGAGGTGCACCAAAGTCAAACTTAATTAACTTTTCCTGCTCGCCTCAGTGTGCAGGGCAATGACTTGCAAAAGCTAAATGAAGACCTGTTTGGGGCGGGCATCGGATCAGCTAAACGAGAAGGACGTCACAATAACGTCACAATAATGTCACAACAAAGCCACAATAACGCCACAACAAAATAACGTCACGAGTCAACTCGATAAGCCATAAGCTCGATAAGTCATGCTTAGCGATAAGGAATCTAACCACCACGCCTTTCGCCTTATATTCTAGTGGCGGACCGAGTCAAATGCGGCACCTGCAAGGCACTGGGAGCCGTGGTGAAGGGAGTGGTCAAACTCACGGGCTCTAGCATGCTGATGAGAAGCAAGGCTTACCGTCTCTGCAGTGTGGTGCCCGTGGCGCGCTCCGTCTGCGAGGGCTACATCGACAGCTGGGCGGTATGTGCAGGGCAGGGGACTTTAGTAACGTAAATGAATGACTGTTGGCAGGGAATTGTATGGATAAGTTGCGTGAAAGAGCAGTCGGGCTGGATAACTGACGTTTGACTACTGTTGCTGGATAAATGTCACCGGTGATAATGCATGGTTGCTCGCTTAGGCCTAAATGTCCAGGTTACACTAAAGCTCGCTCATGTCTACAGGGACCGTTTCATGTTAAGCAATGTTTAAGAAACGGGTAAGTCCTAAGTGTCATTGTCTAAAGAAGAAACGACAGCTCGGTGCTGTCTGACTTATCACACTGTTTCATGCTGACAAGTATAGGTATGAATTCTCGCTCGACCATGAAGGACATCGAGCTCGGATTTGCACATCATATTTCGTCAAAACACTGAGGTTTTATAATGCCGCTTTTAAAGCTGGCTTACATGGGCATAATTTGTCTCTTGCCTGTTGACAATCCGCACTGTGAGCTTCATCATAATTAGTTCTCTTCGCTGTATCTAATTTGCCTCTGTTTTACCCCACCACAGGAGCCGCTAACCTACATCGTTCAGAACAGTAAACTGAGCAGTGCAGAGGTTTGCGCTATCTACATTGACGCCTGTCCACGGCCCAGCCTGGATATCGACGCCACCCTCTACCTGAGGAAAGACCCGACGCCGGCCGAAATCAAAATCAGGGACTACCTCTACCCGGTAAGAAATAATGGGGATTTTCTGTACGCAGGACGTGCTGTGTTTCAAATTATGTTGGCGAGTGACTTGTGAGTGCGTGTAGGAATAACAAACGCTGTCTGGTATAAGAAATTATTACGGATTAAAATGAGCAGCAAATGCAATTATGTAGCTGAGCAAGTTCTTATCTGAAAAGTATAATGAACATGCTTTTGAATGAGCTCGTGATTCATGACGTTACTCACAATGCGGCACAGCCCAGGGCGGCAGCGCCCACTTACATAACATTTTCATTTTTCACCTTGAAACGTTATATAATGCATAGCGTTTGCAGCCAACACTTTGTCCATGGGGTGCCCGCTTATTTTTCCGTCCATCGGGGTTAAATGCAGTGACAATTGTTCTACCGGACACCACATACCATGCGACTCAGGGGTACAATATGCGGGTACCCAAGCGTGAATAAGATCACGACCTCTGTTATATTGTTGCACGATGCACTTGATTCAGAGACCGCCCACGCAGCCCTGGATCCACGCCTTTTTGCACTCAATTGCAAAAAGGCGTGGCTCCAAGGCTGCGTTGGCGGTCTCTGAATCACAGGAAGTTACATTGAATCACTACCGTGATGGGGCCTTGAGCTATCATGATGGAAAATTAAAATTCGTAGTGGCTTATCGGCTTGATCCATACAAGGACGGTGAAGAATTATTCGAGACGGAAGTCGTTAGATAGAAGTGGAAATTCCAAACGAAAGCCGTCAAAGGTAGGCATTAGTCACCACGATTAATGGTGAACGGAAACGAACACTAATGGCTCTTCTATCACAAACAAAATAGAATAAACTTTCGGTTTTGTGAACAGCTTCAGTGGAATGTTAACAGCGGTTGATCAGTCCAATTATTCATCGATTACGTTCCAAACAATATTCATTTGCGTATGTTCCGACATGTATTAAGTGTATCGATATCGATTAATATTAATCAACCGATATTGGTATCGGTGCGTGCACTGTGAGTCTTGTCATGAGACGTAAGGCCCTCTTTAAAGTTGCATGAATCATAGTTTTTAACCAAAGGAAATATACATGTATGTAAGAAACCAAAAAAAAAAACGTTTTAAATAACCGTCAGGGGACCTGCACCTCTGCGCAGCTATTTTGCTAATTGAGTTTGTCCATTCCAGAGCCCTGCAACTCCCGGCCTGACGGTGCTCCACATTGCTGACCTGCACCTGGACAGTCTGTACCGAGAGGGGGCCGACAACAGCTGCTCTGAGGTACTCTGCTGCCGGGCCGACAACGGTACGTGCTGCGTGTGTGATGCGGAATGAGATATAGGCCTATGGCATGGATAAAATCAATGTTAAGGCCTGGCTACACTATGCGTTTTCCGTGTGCGTTTTTTTGCGAGTTTGCGTGTTTTGCGTAATATTGTTCTAGAAAAAGGTTATTATTAATTTAACTTCTTTAATATTTATATAAAAGTTAATAAAACGTTTATGTTAATTAAAAGTTTATATGAAAAACATATAACAAAAACGTATGTCGTTTCTTTCTAGAACAATATTCCGCAAATCACGCAAACTCGCAAAAAACTCACGCAGAAAACGCGTAGTGTAGTCAGGCCTTTAGTAACACAGCAGTCTGATGTCTAACCAATGTCTAACTATGACTCTTTGCATTTACGAATACCTCTGTAGTATCTTTACTCCAGTAATGATAGACATTACACAGGCCATAGAACACAAGAGTTTTTGGGTAAATATAATGCCTGAGCAATGCTCAGTGAGCATGGTTCGTCTGACCTGCAATGTTTGTTTGATATCCTCGATGTCCATGAACTTAGTCAAATCAGGGAAGTTTCCAGGCATCCCAAAGATAATTACAGGTAAAACCAATTGGCAAAGCACAGTAAATTCCACGCCATATTTCTGCCCCGATGACATGGCCGCCGTGGCATTTCCTCTCGGTCGGTAAATAATGGGAGGCTGCACTGCACGTTCACCGCTGCAACATTCTATGCCGTGGATTGAAGGGACAATGCTAATTTTATCATTGAAGCCTCTCCCCGTGCAGAGGGCTGGACATGAGACGGAGCTTGGCTGGCTCCGACTATGGGAAATGTTCGATGCAGCTCAGGTCTGCAAGCATCTGCAGAATGTTTTTAAAGATGCAGCATCTATAAATAAAAATAAGCGATCATAAAAGATTTGCACCTGCATATCGGCAAGCACCGAGCAAGAAATTAAGAACGCTAGGGATGATGGAATTTGCTAACGGCATATCGATCTGTCGATCGGAGGAGACTTATGCAAAAGATCTTATTCTAATCGCTAGGTAGTAGGTATAGCGTCTAGCGACGACCCCAAAGGGCAAAGAGTCCGACCTATGAACGTTGTTCGTCCTGCAGGTTTTCCGACGAACGCGTCCCGTCGCGCCGGTCGATGGGGCGACTACACGAGATGCGACTCCCCCTACAAACTGGTCGAGTCAATGGTCCAACACACGGCCAAACAGCATCCGGTAAGAGACAAATGGTTCAACAGATCAACCGAGGGATGTGGGATGCTTTTATACACACACGAGTTAGGTTTGCGTAAAATAAAGCTGGCGTATAGATAGCAATTAACATATTTGGATATCTAATTAGATTATGATTGATGACAAAAATTGTTTACTACATCATACATGACACAGTAAAATTAGCTTGTTCGACTAATTTGTATCGTGTAAAACTTAATAAACTTAATGAATGCACGTTAAACACATCCGCGGTCGAGTATACAATCCTTTCCCCTCTGACACTTCTCGTAACTGTTACCTTTAGGATGTGGCCTACATTATGTGGACGGGTGACAACGCGCCCCACGACGACTGGCGCAGCTCCCGAGAGGAGGTGCTCTCGTCGACCAGCAGCATCACGGCGCTGCTGCAGCGCTACTTCCCCGGCATCCCCGTGCTGCCCGTGATTGGGAACCATGACTCGGCGCCCATCAACAGGTGAGCTAACCGCGACTCGGCGCCCATCAACAGGTGAGAGTTTACCACGACTCGGAGGAGTTTGCCTCCATCAATCACTCATCAGCATTCGACAATGAGTTGATGGTTGATGAACACCGCTTGGTGTCGACCAGCAGATGCAATCAGAGCTTTTGTCTTTCGTAATTTCATATAAAGTCGCCCTGCATTTTGACCTGCCATCTCACAGGAAGCTAAACAAACGTCACCCCATTTATCCGGCAGTTTTCCGCCGAAGGAGGTGTGGAACGCCGGTTTCAGCGGCGCGTGGCTCTACAGCATGTTGGCGAACATATGGAAGCCCTGGCTGCCGCCCAACGCCGGTGAGTGATGAGTTGGGAACGGAGTGTGTCGGTTGGGATAATGGGGGGGGGGATGCACAAGGGGTAATTTTAGGTGCATGTATTGTGGTAGAACATGACGATGGCGTATTAGGCAAGCTGACTTTATTTTTATCTTGTGTGGTACCTATGTCTGACGGGTATGGGAAAACCACACCGCAAGAAATATAAAGAAACGCCAGACTTGCAGAGGGCAAACCGTCCCCTTGAACTGGTGTGCATTCACCTAAAAAGTTATGTCCTGCACAAACATACCTGTCTACCAATCAGGTAAATATGCCTACTTTGTACCAAAAATATCTAACAAACAGTGCCAACTGGAATCAGTGTGCTTCGTAAATCTTCCACATGGTAAAGCTCCACCGCACAATAGGTATTCAGCATGTCCTAATAATCCTAACAATCCTAACGTCGCCATATATAGCGCTCGCCTCTCACGCGTTTGATCTTACACCATCCTCCTTCGCACCAAATTCAACCCCCAGGCTTATAAGTGATCGGACCCCATTGTCCCACCACTCCCACCCAAACATCCCGCGTTGTTCGCTCTACCAAAAATCCCCGCTGGTTCACAAGGGTGTAGCTCGCTGGATGCATGACGACACCTGCCATTAGGTAACAGCGACCGGCTCCCATCCGTGGCTCCGTACCTCGAATCGACCGTACCAATGTTGGCAACACGAGCTGGTTTTGCAGATAAAAGACTAATCCGTCGAAGACAGTGGACTACATACGAGTTGAACGCGGCTCGAGAGATGATTGAAACATCTTCAGAATGTTCTTCGGGATTATCCGCGGGCCGTCGTCAAATGGTTTCGGCAGCGAGGCACTTGAGCAGGTGATGGAGTCATTAATCTTCAAGAATGTGTCACATTATTGGCACATGATGGACTGGCTGGGCCACCAATGTCAAATGACTGAATGAAATAAAGTTATGCTGTCCATCCACATTGCAGCCATCGATTCTACCTGCGATTTTACACGAACGCCAAATTATTTCGCAAGTAGTTATACAATCTGTCATATTTGTGATTTACGTCAACCTCCGAAGCGACTGAAGGAATTTTTACTGACTGAAACTTTATGCTTCCAGAGAAATCGCATTTTTCAAAGGCTTTCATTTATAGTTTCAAATTTATAGAATCACATTGCGATTTTTGCTGGCTCGGATATGGATGCACGTCAAGCTTCCCTCCCAAAAATTAACACCGGTTACACTTTCACTGCAGCTATGCTACTCTCGTTGCACATCATACAGAGTTTGATGTGGTACCTATATACCTACCCAGTTGAGAATTCACGTTTATTTACAGAAGAACATTCATTATCAATGGTGGTCACTGGTCAGCATACATTACATACAAAAATGTGCACCTTTGCGGTAGCAGCGAAAGCACAATAAAATGCGACGATTTTAATGCTTAGTTTTAGTTTGCCAGGTCTTAGCCAGTGTTGAATTAAAAATGTGTATATCAACAGTCGTCTGCCAATAGGCATCCAAGTAATGTCTTTTTATGTGTTTCTCTTAGCTTCAAACTTTATAAATAGCTGGACGCTGCAGCCTCTGCAGCTGACGGTTTTTGATAGATCACAGTCCCATGATAGAAGGCTTACAATTTAGTGGCTCTCAGTGTGCAAAACCAGTTTGGTCTAAAAATATACGAGCAGACCGAGTAACAATCAGGGTCAATGCCGAGATGAAAGGACTTATTTATATGGCAAACAATCGCTCTCACTTAGCAATATGCGATGGGAAGGGCTTAACCGTTTGATATTGGGAATGCAGCCACAGGCCATTTAGTGCAGAAATGCCCATCTCAACGGGTTAATTCTCACAAAAGGCATGGACTCAACTGAGAAAAAGCCACATCTTCAATCTACATCTGTGATGTGAAGTAAACTGGTCTAATTTTGAAAAGTGTAAATGATTCGCCCTAGGTCAGCAGAAACAATTCCGATATGAAGAACAATGAAAACTTTTATCCTTTTTACAACTTTTATCGATCGGTCTGTTTTCGTGCTTGTCAAAAGTTCTTTCGTACTCGAAGCAGAGACAAAAAATTAAAAGCCCTGGTCGATATTCCTTCCATTAAATATGTAGATCTCCAAACACATCGCGCTAACGCGATGCTCTGACTGAGACCCAAAATATCCCCTCAATGGTCTTGACAGGGCGTAACGTAATACAAGGTTTCTAAAAGCCTTCAGAACTGATTTTTATTTCAGCGAACGACATGTTCCATCTGTCGGTTGCATTCCTTAGCCGGTTCTGCAGCATTCGTGGCAATAGTAACTGCAAGTGTGAGAGTAGCGATTATATAATCGCATCGCGGAGAGCGAAGAACAACATTTGTGACATGGGTTTGGATATGAGAAATAGAGCCACTTCACTTCACAGCCTGAGTATAACCTTTAAAAAAGCAAACGGGCCTCGAATTGGTTTGGTGAATCCAGAAACGTTATTTGTCGTCTTCTCTATATACATATTCTTGAAGAGCTTACAGTCTAAAAAGCTACAGTTTCACTGAATTATGGAAATTATCAACTTTAATGACGTCATGTGGCTCATGTCCCTCTAAGAACAACCAGGGATGGAACTAAAAGGGTCAGACTGGAGGGTGCAACGGCATTAGAACTTCCGGATCGCCAGTGGGGCGGGTCGATCTACATAAGAGAAGTTTACACATTGGATCGAGAAGTTACTTTGAAATTTTATCGTAATTCGCCACAGGGAGTCTACTATGGAGATGAATATATGTTAGAGAGCTCTTTTGCAGCTAAGTGTATGAGTTTTACTGGATATTGAAACATACAAACTCGGCCGACTCAGTCTGGCGCGGCGGAGGCGCACAAAACTGCGGGTCAGCGCGGTTGCGGCCGGTTCCACGCTGCAATGTCGACATCCCGGTCAGACAGGTCAGTCGGCAGGTCAGGCAGACGGACCAGTCGGCAGGGCAGACCGCCGACAGGTAACTGACGGTGGTTGGCGCAGCCTGACCGACCTGCACACCAACCTCGACCGGTCAGACGGCCTTGGGGTAGCCGCAGAGCCGACGGAAGCCCGGCGCGCGGCAGGACGCACACCGGATGGACGAAGGAGAAACCAACTTAGTGACGTGACTTTGCGGGCTAGTGCTATCTGATGCTGGTTCAATTCAACGTCCGTGCTACAGAGTTGAAAATCACCGAGCGCAGACTGACTTTACAGCTTGGTGCTTAATTTGCCCTACCGTCCGTTTAATTTTGGTCTTTTGTTCATTCAGGAGGAAGCATACCTACATTTGTCATATTCAGGAGGAAAAACTCTACTCAGCCACGTACCCAAAGACCTTTTCCAATGGCGCAATAAAAAATGTGTGAATTGTTGCGGCCGTTCTACGAATTTCCTAAAATAGATACATACAGGTGCCTATCAACATCATTACGCGAAGAGAAGACAACTTGCTGGTCACCAAAAAATATGAAAACAAAACTGCAAAGCTGATTAACCTCATTCCTCTTAACTCTCCTTAACCTAATGACAAATCACTATCTGGTGAAAGGCTGTCGAGCGCAGTGTCCTTGTTTTGCTCGATTCGTAGAAAAATGAAGTCATTGCCTATATTATTCGTTGGTAGCAGACCCCGATAACATCAGGATGGTGTTTGACAATTTTGTCCTGGCCACTCATACCGTGTTTTTTTTTTCCAGCGGCCACTCTGGAAAACTACGGCTACTACTCCCTGTTGGTTCGCCCTGGTTTTCGCGTCATCGTCATCAACACCAACGTGGCCTACAAACTCAACTTGTGAGTGTCGTTGTCCTAAAAAAATGTTGTCCTGAGTGTATGTTAGAACGCCTTGCCTCACTCAAGAATCGGGATGCGGAACAATGGCAGAACTCAATTGTTCTAAGTGGAATTTGTCGATGTTATCATGATGAGGATGTTTGATCCACTTTCAATTATTTAAACGGTTGTACCTACTTGTAGAATATTGTAGTCTTGTGTAATGTAGTATCGGTTGTATTGTAGTCTTATCTTATGCTAAAACTAATCTTCTTATTAGTTACAAAAAAAAACTACAAAATACAACCTTATGGACAAATTTAACAGCCATCCCAATGTTAATCAACTGAGGAATCCATGTTTTTAAAATATAGGTCTATTCAAACTTACTTAGATGAGCGGCTCTGCTGATGAAATCCCCCACCCGACGCCTTATCGGCTGGTTGTCACCTGTCTGACCTCTAACCCTACATCGTCCTCAGCTGGGTGCTGATGACGGCCCGCGGAGACCCTTCTCACCAACTGCGCTGGCTCACCGAGGAGCTGAGAGCCGCCTATCTCACGGGTGAGAAGTGCCACATCGTGGGCCACATCTCACCGGCCGACCGAGACATCCTGCCCGCCTGGAGCCACATGTACTACAAGATCATCAAAAAGTGAGTGATTCAGAAGGGCTAACAAGAACTGGTGGTTTTCGTGACGGCTAGCGAGGAAACGGTCAACTTCGGAAGGCGATTGTGTGATCATATTGGCACGAAATAAAAGGGTTACCTTTTTAATCAAAGGAATTATTATATATCGTCCATCCTTCTGAAAAAGGATGTAGATACGAATGCAAGATATATCTTGCATGACTTTACCTATTGGTAAAGTTCAGTTTTAAATATCATATTGCTCGATTAAAAAAATATATATAATCGAAAACGAAACGTCTTTTCGTGTGTTCTATTAATGAATTAAATTGCCATTGGCTAAATGATTATTGCTCTTCTCCAGCTACCGGACCACGGTGCGTGGAGAGTTTTTCTCCCACACGCACGTTGACGAGATCCACCTCTCGAAGGACGACAACGACGAGGCGTTCGCCGTGACATATGTAGCGCCATCTCTGTCGCCCTGGAAGAACGTGAATCCCGGCTACAAGGTCTACACGGTAGATGGCAGCAGGGGAGCGCAGTCCACTTGGGTGAGGAGCGGATTTCAGCGGAACGTAGAGCGATTGCTTACCACTGATTTGAACTGATTGGAACATCAATGTCAACCAAATCGTGTGCCAACTCGGAACACAAATACTAGTCGACCAGTGTAGAAACTGGTCAGCTTTCCGACCTAGCCTCCCGGCCTCCAGTTACCGTAATCGTTGAGTAATGAGTACCTTTTGAGCTCGTTTGAGCTTTATTGATGTGACCTAGCACCTGAGCTGATCTGTTCCTCACAGGTCTTCCCCACGACTCCCTTTGACTTGATTTGACAGCTGCTCTTGTGGAAGCTTCTAGCTCAGTGACCGAGTCGTCTTTCGAAATTCATTATCTTGGATCTGACTGTGACCTATGTCCTGTTATCTACCGACTGAACCCTCTTTTGACCTCACTCCTCCTCTCCCCAGGAGGTGACCGAGGTCGCCCGGTGGACAGTGAACCTCCAGGAGGCCAACAAGCTCGCTGGAAACAGTCCCCGCTGGTACCAGCAGTTCAAAGCGTCGGAGGAGTACGGCTTAGCGTCACTTTCGCCGCAGAACTGGAGCAGTGCCGTCCAGTCCATGCTGCTCAAGGATCACCTCTTCACTAAATATTACAGGTGAGCAGACTGTTAGTTCTTTAGCTGAAGAGTTGCGGGGCGGATGAAAGCCATAAAAGCAGAGGACATATTTCTGTCGTCTAGCATCTGCTCCGTCCTCGGCTATGCATCTCCCTGGTGCCACCTACATACGGCGCCAACGAGTCCCGAGGTTTGATTCAAGGGAGAGGTAGTGGCTCGTCACTGGTTAGCGAGATGTGGTCCAATGAGGCGCAAGCGTGTTTAATTCGCTGGCATCCTAAAAGCAGCACAAGTCACTCGTCTTACCTTAAAAACGTATAATAAGCGTAAAAACGTCACTCGTCTTGCTTTACAAACGTATAAACGACAAACGTACAAACACTCGTCTTACCTCACAGACGTTTAAATGCCACTCACAATAGCTAGCCTTTGACAGCCTCATGTCTATGGTTTCGTTTATTCTCTTTTACCACCTGCATCCTCTCGTCCCCAGGAACCTGAGCGGTCGAGCGCTGGTGCAGGCTAGCTGCGACGCCGAATGTCGGCAGGAGATCATCTGCAACGTCCTCACCTCCGACCAATCGAGCCCGAGGCAGTGTCAACGGGCGAGGGCCACCTACCAGCAGGCAGTGCGCGAGGGCAGGGCCAACCCGAGGGCGGTGGTCTCCGCCTCGCAGCCGACGCCCTGGTTCTGAGAGACAGAGGGGAGCGAGTGATAGAGAGGGAGAGAGAGAGGGGGAACGGATCGTTATCCTGAAGTCCTGCTGTAGTGTTTTGTAGGACGTGGCTGAGAAGATGCATTAGGAAGTTTAATTTTATTGCACTGCGAGAATAGTTATAGTTCTGTTGATGGTGAAAAGTGGAGTAAAATACCAAGGTCATGTGGAATTGACCGGGTACTGACTCCATCTGGCTATCACAAATATTGTTGTGCAGTGGACAGTGGTGAAGCATAGCTTGACCGTGTAGCACTTACGGCTATTATGCACTTGTAGGTATACAATTTAAGACCTTCATCGTCTCTTTCTTTAAAATTTACGTTAAGTTTATTCACTTTTCGGGACGCTATGATAGTTCGCGAAACAGCGTACGAATTGTTATTTTGGTATACGTTGGGGTATTTTCCTTGCCTGGGTGTTATGGGGATCAAGGCAAGAATTTGTGTCCCGTAGTGATGAATCATTAGTCGATGTTTTCATCGAATGAAAGGTGAATGTTGACATGAGTCAATTGTATATCATGCATATCGTTGTTATGCGTCAAGTTTTTTTCGTCAGTGACGATATAATGCACCAAATATATGACAACGCACTATGTAAATGTAATGTGTGATGGTTTTTATTAAATACACGCATTCAACGTTCGTTTTGTTGTCACATTAAGAAGAAGAAAAAGTAAAAACGTTCCTACTTTATCGTGGCAGCCACTGTGTTACGAAGGACCAATACCGCCATCCCGGCACGCAGCCACAGATCGCAACACACAAACGATAGACGTCGACCAGGATAACGTTTCGTAAGCAGATTTCACCCATCTTTTTACGGTGCTCACTAAAAAGACTGCACAGGCTGCGCTGATTCACCTGTTGTGAAGAAAGGCGCACGCTGTTTTCGCGGTATGCAGATGTTGTCGGTGTATTGGAGATAGCTGGCGGGCGGTAGGGAGGTGTGCTGGCAATCAGGGCACGTAGCAGCTGGGTCGCTCGGACGCAGCCGGGCCGGACCGGGCTGGAGATGACTCAGGGGCCGGGTCAAGGTCAGCCTGGTTTGTGGTCTACCGCGGCGGGTGCGCTGTGGTAGTTGAGTTGAGTTGCGCTGGGGAGAGAGTCCCGGCTGGGACGGATGATCTGTCTTCAAGTATCAGCTCTCACAGCTGATTTCTTTGACTCATGGTAGACGGGAAAATAACTGAAGGAGATCATAAATATAAAACATATTGAGGCGAATGTCGCTACGCCATGATATCAACGACACGGTGGCATCATGGAATCAGCCGAATGTATGTTGTGCAGCATAAGATATGAAGTAAAGTTATTAGATATTAGTTATAGGTATATTAACTGAATCAATTAAATTAACTGAGCAAATCAAGAATAAACAAATGGCATCGCATCAGTTCGCTGCCGACTTAGCACGTTCGTCGGATGTCGGCTTCATGTCACCACACTGTCGTTCATCTTTTCCTTGATGCGTTTCTCTAGATGCATCTGATTCTATGCGGTTTATGATAATGTAGGCCCAAGCGAGCCCGAAACTAACTCGCTGTTTCTGATTTATCGCTGTTATCATTCAGCGTCTGCGTCGGAGCATACGAACCCCCTCTCCACGTCAGTCTGGATCAGCATTGGATCTTCTGGAGCTGTGACTCACCCCCTCGGGCAGACGCACTGCCACGCAGCTCCGCCGGCAGACTGACCTTATATGTGCGTCTGCTGAGTGCTGACGTAGGCTCGTGGTCAGACATGGTTTCGAATTCGGAAACCGAGCGAGCATCAGACCTCCCCTCCCCTGTCTGACCACAACGGGGGCTGATTTATCGTTCCGAGGAGAAGGACAAACATACGACGACGGCTGCGGCTGCGGCAGATCAAGTGATGGAGAGAGGACACTGAGTCACCGGCGACGCCACTGATGACATCAGGAAGGGTCGACAGGCCGGAGGTTTGGTTCTGGGGCGTGGCCTTCTATAGGCTAGTGTCTACCAAGCTTTTTTTGTGACAGGAGTGATGCAATGTCATGTTTAGGTATTTATTGAACAGGGAATATTTATTATAGGTGTACCTATTCGTTCGATTTTAATGCAAGGCAGAAATCAATGAGGAATTATGATCGGGGAAAGGAAATTTATCAAACGAAAATAATTACCTACCTTTTCAATTTTTCCTCATAAGCCCCAGGCCCAAAACTTTGAGACGTTTTATTATTTAATGAGTGTGATAGTTCGTGCTTCACGGTTAGAGGAAATAAATGAATTTTGCCCCATACAAAATTGCCAAGACGCAGTGGCGGCGGAAGCAAGGGGGCAAGGGGGGCAGCTGCACCCTAAAGCTATGGAAAGGGGCGCCTCGAAAATCTGTAGAGGAGGCAGGAAGTTAAGTTAAGAGGTGCGGCAGCCATAAAGCTGAGCAGTGCGACACCGCAACTGATAAAGGCACTTGTGACACGAAGAGGGTGGCAATGACGTGGGAAAAGTATCTTTTGATATGCTGAAGAGTGGAGGGCATCCTTATCTGAAACAAAGGCAGATGCTGCCGACCCTGTGGAATATAATCTTGCCAGGCGATAAAGGCTAGGAGGGCGCAGCCACTCGAGAAGCGCGCCATGCGGAAGAGGGGCGCCTGCATGCGAAAGAGGGGCGCCTGTGTGTGGGACGAAAAAGAAACATTTATGGAGACGTCTTTGAAGGCGATAGCCTCCGAACGCCAACACGAACATATGAGGGTTTATAGCGTTGCAGGCTCCATGCGACAAAAAAGGGCGCCTGATGGCCGATATGCGAGAGGAAATTAAGTAGTTTGTGTAACATTTATCGGGGGCGGTTTGCCGTTTACAACATATGAATGTTAAGGGAGGTCCGAGATTGGGGCCTGTAAAATTGCACTGTCCGTATGGGCGGTTACACCCCTAGTGCTAGGGCGTATTTTGCGTTTTTTTTTTTTTTTTGTTGTTGACTGGGGAGATGATTATGACCAGGAATAGGACTCTGCAAACTTCTATGGGCGCCTGTATAGGGGCGAAACTGATTTTCCAGTGCAGGGACGGCCATCGGCATTGTGGGGCGGCATTCATTCCACTGGGGCGTCTCAGACGCCCCAGTGTCTCCATGTGACACATGGGGATGGTGAGAAGGGCTTAGAGCTTAGCGGCTAAGAAGGGGCTTATTGACAATATTCTTGACCAGGACTGCACGAATGTGGCAGCACGTTTAGGTCTACGAATGATGTTTAAAGGTTAAGTAGTGGACGTTGATGCGACCATGAGGTGATCGATACAATACTGCGCTTTCCTCTCCCTTTTCGCCCTAACAGATATAAACGGCGCATTTTAGTTTTCACTCGTCTAGCGTTATACGTATGTATATGCGTAATTATGCGTTACATAACAGCTCATCGATACCTGTGCGATGCTGCTGCCCTAGGGTGCCCTAGTGTGCCAATTGCCACTTGCACCTTGAATATTATTCGAGGTAAGATTCCGTAATACCAGGCAAAGTGAAATAAATATGTCGAATTAAACGCCCATCTCTGGGAAAGACACGAGTGAAATCAAATATTATTGAGCGAGAAGAGTCCAGTTTTCCTCAAATTCGACCGACTCCGGCACACGCTTATATATAGTCACATATAGTCATTATATAGTCATTATATAGTTATAGTCACATCCATCGGTAGTTAGTGGCAAAAGTCACGCCACAGGTCAGGTGAAGTCGGTGATCGGATCGGGCCGTGACGAGGGCTCGTTACACGCTCGGCTTTCAGTCCTGTCGTCTTCCCGGAATTCCCCATGAATGGAACTGGGCTCTCGAACTGCTCAACAAGTCTAGGATGGCATAGGTTTGTAGCTGGACAAACGTCCCAGCTCTGGCGCGCGCAGCGGCCCCCATTCCTGCCCCAGCGCGCGGTGTGCCCGAGAGGCGTCTGGGGAGCTGTGCCGCCGCGCTAGACCAGGCTGAGCGGTGTGCCGGTCAGCGACAACAGGTCCTTTGCCGGCGCAGGTCTGCTCAGTCATTGAAAATATGTACAGTCCACAGCAGGAACATTATGAAGGTTACATTTACGCTAAGGAATGTACCTAACTATTTCTCGTTACATAAAAACTGTAATTCTGAACGTGTTAACAGGTATATACAACACATTGTCAAACGTCTCTTCACGGTTTGTGTTACTACAACCGTGTATATGGTAAGGGGCGCCCATATAGCGGGAAGGGGCGCTTCAATATCGTTTGCACCCCTATCCTAGAATACCTTCCGCCGTCACTGCCAAGACGTGTTTGAGATCTCGGAGGATGGATTTAGGAGTTTTTGGATCGCACCGACAAGCTAACCGATTTACCTCGTTATTTAACGCCCCAACACAATGAATAAAAGGCACATCAAAATGGTGACATGACATCAATCAGACGGACTCCATAGTATCAGACGTTCCATAGTACTCGTGCCGTAAATTAAGCCGGTCTTCCAAGTTCCACCCACGCCCATTCAACCATCCTCGCTACTTCAACCTGCCACCCCTCCCAAAGTGCCATGTCATCTCCGTACTCGTCAGCGTGAGGCGTGGGCATCCGGAATCCCTACTTTCCACGACACGCGGATGGTCGAGCGGTCAGAATTCCAGCGGAATGGTCGAGAATACCATGGAGCGATCGGCCTGTTGACTGGTGAGGACTAGCGCGTGCTGGTTGGTCAGCCGCGGCAGGACCACTGTGCCGCTCCGGTCACATCACCATTCACCAGTCACCGTCCAGCGTGGGGTGATACAATCGTACGGCGGTGCCGCATCACAAGCGACTCCCTAAATAAGGCCGGCGACCGGCGCGGCGGCGGCCGGCGCGCGCCAGCCACAGCCATATATGGTCATCGTCCAGAGAAAGTACGCCGACTGACCGAGACCCGTCGACCCTGCGCGCTGACCCTGCGCAGTGACCCTGCGCGCCGGCCGCCCGGCGCCGCGCCGGTGCTCGCCGGCAGACGCCGCCCGTCGAGTCACCGGCGAGCGCGCGCCAGGGCGAGTCGAGGGCGAGCTGTGATCGGGGGCGGGTGACGAGAGTGATTGTGAGGGGGAGTGGCACGCGACAGGACAGGGGCATAGGCGCGGGAGCCGGGGGGGCAGTGGGGGCAGCTTGCCCCCCCAACTCTGGGGCCGTGGGGGCGGTGCCCCCACAGCTTTGAGACGGAATACCACACTTTTTTGCAAATGTTTTATTTTTTGTTGAAAAAGCCGAGGGGTGAAAAATAAGTGGCCTAAAACCGGTGAGAAAACTAGATTTGGGGGTACCCTAGGTTGATCTCTATTATGGTGTGCCCCCCCAGTCGGAAAGTAGTTCCCGCGCCCCTGGACAGGGGCGAGACGCCGGAAGAAGACAGGAGGTGGTCTGAGATATTGACAGGTAAGCGGTGGCGAAGTGAAGGAGGGTGTGGCTGTTTGATGATGCGTTCTGGGGCTTCCTTTACGAATTGATGTTTAGTGTGTTGTTTTTAGTGTTTTTGAGTGCTGTCAAATGATGATGTTAACCTATATTTGCCGGTGTGACTCGCTTGTGAATTTCCTTATGTTGGCTCCCCCAGACCAAAACTCCCCTTTTGATGGAAATAATTTAGGTAAAGGTAAACAGTGTACTGTTTACTTTCAAAAATCAGTTATAAC